GGCAAAAGGGAAAACGTGGGTCCGCTGGTGAATGCTGGGGGGTGACCTGGTTACAAAAGAAAACAGAAAAAGCAGAGTTACTGACTGCCTTCTTTGCTTCAGCGTTTAGCAAGTGCAGCCTTCTGGAATTCCAGACCGTAGGGACAAGGGAAGAAGCCTGGARAGAGGAAGACTTGYCCTGGGTAGAGGAAGGTTGRGTCMGAGARCACTTAGGGAAACTTGATGTCCACAAATCCATGGACTCTRATGGGATGCACCCYAGAGTGCTGTGTGAGCTGGTGGATGTTATTGCTAAACAGCTCTCCATCATCTTTGAAAGGTTCTGGAGAACGGGGCAGGTGCGGAGGACTGGAAGAAAGCCAGTGTCACTCCAGTCTTCAAAAATGGCAAGGGGGAGGACCCGGGCAACTACAGGCCAGTTGGCCTCACCCCATCCCTGGAAAAGTGGTGGAACAGCTCATCCTGGCTGTTGTCTCCAAGCGTATGGAGGACAAGGTGCTCAGGAATAGTCAGCATGGATTCAGCAAAGGGAAATCACGCTTGACCAACCTGATAGCCTTCTGTGGAATGGCTAGCTGGATAGATGAGGGCAGAGCAGTGGATGTCATCTATCTGGACTTGAGCAAGGCTTTTGACACCGTCCCTCACAGCATCCTCCTGGGCAAGCTCCGAAGGTGTGGGATTGATGAGTGGACGATGAGGTGGATGGAGAACTGACTGCATGGCAGAGCTCAGAGGGTGGTGATCAGTGGCACGGAGTCCGCTGTAGTTAGGCCTGTAGTTAGCGGTGTCCCCCAGGGGTCAGTCCTCGATCTGGTCCTGTTCAACTTATTCATTAACGACCTGGATGAAGGGCTGGAGTGTTCCCTCAGCAAGTTTGCTGATGATACCAAGCTGGGAGGAGCAGCTGATAGCCCTGAGGGCTGTGCTGCCATCCAGAGGGACCTGGACAGACTGGACAACTGGGCAGTGAGAAACCTCATGAAGTTCAACAAGGGCAAGTGCAGGGTCCTGCACTTGGGGAGGAATAACCCTGGACACCAGTACAGACTAGGGGTGGACCAGCTGGAGAGCAGCCCTGCAGAGAGGGACCTGGGTGTCATGGTGGACAACAAGTTGACCATGAGACAGCAGTGTGCCCTGGTGGCCAAGAAGGCCAACGGGATCCTGGGGTGCATTAAGAAAAGCGTCTSCARCAGGTCGAGGGARGTGATYRTSCCCCTCTACACAGCCCTGGTGAGGCCACATCTGGAGACTGTGTCCAGTTCTGGGCTCCCAGGACAAGAGGGATGTGGAGCTGCTGGAGAGAGTCCAGCGCAGGGCTACGAGGATGATCAGGGGCCTGGAACATCTGCCCTGTGAGCAAAGGCTGAGAGAGCTGGGTCTGTTCAGCCTGGAGAAGAGAAGGCTGAGGGGGCACCTGATCAGTGCCTATAGATACCTCAAGGGAGGCAGTGAGGAGGAGGGGGCGGCCTCTTTTCAGTGGTGGCCAGTGACAGGACTAGAGGAAATGGCCACAAGCTGAGGCACCGAAAGTTCCTTAGGAACTTACGGAAGGGTGCCAACAGAGGTTATGGAGTCTCTTTCTCTGGAGATCTTGACAACCCGCTTGGACGCAGCCTGTGCCACATGCTGTACGTGACCCTGCATGTGCAGGGAGGGCTGGCCTGGCCTAGATGATCTCTAAAGGTCCCTTCCAACCCTAATGATTCTGTGATTTTATGCCTCCTCCAGAAGGGAAAAAGAGGCAGAACCTGCAAACCCAAGGATGTCTTTCATGAGGCAAAGGGTAGATGGCCATCTTTTGGGAGGAATGTCTCAATCTGTTTATGGCCTGTGCATGTGCTAATGTGGTGTGAGATGCCAGGAACCCCTTGCCCTGCTATAAAGGCCTCTTTTTTTCCATCACTTAATGCAGAGAGTCCTTTTACACTTGAGCTGTGATGTACGAGCGTCTCTAATTCCAGACTTGAAAACACCACTGAAGTAAGTGGCTTGTGATCCTACCCAGACTCCGAGCAGGATATTTTCGTAAGGGCAATCACAGAAATTAGAGGGAGGGAAGACCTGTTACGTCATGTGTGCTGGTCCCAGGCAGCAAGTCCCACAGGAGTCATGTCCAGGGCATATCCAGCCCAGTTTAAGGTCCCAACAGAAGATGTTGTATCTCAAGGAACAATTCAGAACAGATCCTGTTATGAGTTCTGCTAGTGTTTCAGTTAWTTTTTTTTCATATTTAATATCATCTCCTTTTCCCTAGTTTTCCTCCTTGGATAAGAGCATAAACTTCTGTATAGGTTTCACGCATACAGAGGAACCAAACTGAGGTCTGGTGAGCGTCACTGTGCAAGAGCAAGCAGTGATGGGAGGCAAATGTCAGAGCAGATGCATGATGGCTTGCACCTGGCCACCATAATGTGGGGTGGAAGCACTGAATTAACTTAACCATYCTCACTTGTGTCTCCCAGCCTAGGGCCCTGTTTAAGGTCAGGCCTGGCCTCTCATCTCTTTCCTGAGCTGTGTTGCTGCTCTGCTTGCTTTCAGCCCTGTCTCCTGGCTGGACYTTGGAGCTTTGTTGCAGGTAGCTTGTTTCTAGAGGGATCCTCTGTGTCTGTAGCTTGTCTCCAGTTATGTTTGTGGTCTTGTTTCCTGGGAGGAATCAGGAGCTATGTTGTAGCTTTGTCTTGAGTCTTGTCTCTGTCCTTGTTTGCTTTGCCTCCTGACTGTGCTCTGTGGATGGACCCCAAGCCTAGTTTGTGGCTTGTCTTCCCTGGTGTAGTCAGCGCCAGCTTCTGCCTGTTGCATTCCCAACTGGTGGGACTGTGCCTGTTAGTGAGGACACTGCTGTGCTGGGGTCACCCTGGCTGAGGAAGCAACTGGGCCAGGCTGCTCCCTGGCTCCTTCCCCTGTGGTCTAGCTGGTTGGCAGGTGCCTGTGCTCCAAGCCAGGTCCTCACCCTGAGCCAGCCCTTGCAGCCTGGCCACCTTCCTCCTGGAACGATGGATTTGCCGCTAGGCTTATCCTCTTTGTCCTGGGCTGATCAGTCTGTGTGGGATATCTCCTGTGGTTCGTGACCTGTTCTTAAGCTTGTGTCAGCCTCAAGAGTTTCTCCTGTTGTTCCTTGAGAGTTTTAGCTCTGCATGGTGGCCGAAGACTGACAAAGACAAGTCGCAGGGGGACCATTGTTGAACTTCAGCTTGGGATAACATGTTCTTGGCTCTGTCTCCCCTGGCTGCCTTCYTTCCTTGTTGAAGCTGGCCCGTGTGCCAGTCTCCCTGGCAGCAGGCTGCCCGTGCTGCTTTAGGAGCCCACAGGCAAAATGAATTTGGCAACAGCTAATGAACTCTAAAGACTTCCTTTGAGGCACRGGAAGGGCCCAAATGGGCTTTTGGCTTGAGGGTAGAGGGCAAAGGTGGTGATTTGTCATGCTCGGTGTGCTCTAAAAGTCCATTTAGGGTAGTTTTATCTAGTTTTTCAGTAGATCCTCTGCTATTCCTGTGGTTTCTGAGAGGACAGGTTGAGAGAAGGAGCTTAAATCCTTCCCTTTCTCTCACCCCGTGCAGAGCAGCGCAGTCCTTGACCCCTGTGCTGGGGACACGGCAGCTCCAGGTGGCTGCTCTGCTGCGCTGGGCAGCTCCTGGCCTGGGTGCTTCAGCAGGATGCCCTTGCTGGCAGCATCTGCAACGTGTGGGCTTCCTACCTGTCTGCCCTCCGGGCCCCGAACAGGGCTCATGGATTTCAGTCCTAGCTCAGTTTTGCTTTTGTGCCAAATTCTTCTCATGTTATGGGTGAGATGTTCCAGATGTAAACGTCAGCTCTGCATTGAAACTTGCTGCTGCAGATCTAGCATTGTGATCATTCTCCAGCCAACTCCTGTTATCAGGCTAGGGTCGGGGGAAGGCTTCAGCACTGCTACTTTATTTAGGAAAGCACCAAGTGTACATTTAACTTAAACTCTGCATTTTTTCAGCAGCAGAGATGTGTGTTTAACTTTTGGCACATRCTTAAGCCATCTGTTCAAGCTGTACCTTATTCGGGAAGGAGCTTCCTTTTAACCATGGCCCTTTGGTAGCAAGTCCTCAGCTGCAGTTTGTGTAGGAAGGTGGCTTAGGACCCATCTATTTCATGGTTGTCTTCCTGTACTTGCCATCAAAGCTGAGTGGTGATGTGCCCTGCAACCCTAGGCCACAGCGTGCAGCACTTTGCACCTCTGCTCATGTCAATAGCTGGGGAGCCACCCCCAAGACTGAGGACTGGGACGAGGTGATCATCCGTGAGCTCTTTCATCCTTTAGCTGTGTTTGATTCCAGCTTAATTCTCTGTTCTGTGGACACATCCTGCTTTCAGCACTGATAAGCCTTGGCGCGGCACTGAGCTTGCAGAATTTGACTGTCCAAGTCTCTGAGGACTCGCCCCTGAGTCCCCTCTGGCTTGTTTCCATCTTCCTAAGATGTTCCTGGTTCAGAAAGCTGCTGTGCGCTCGTGTTGCTGAGCTCGGAGCTGCCTGGGAGTGTGTCAAGGTTGTAACCATGCAGGGAGCTGAGGAAAATATCAGATTAAAGCACAAGCCATCGTAAATGACAGACCATCCTGCAAATCCCTGTGTGGGACTGTTTTCCCTTGCAAAGATCTTCTAGGGAGACCGCAACAGGGCTGCTACGCTGGTGTCTGAGGTGGATCAAAGCAGCTTTCTGCTCAGTTGACCTGTTGTTTAGCAGAGCAGCAGATTGGTGCCCCGTGCGTGTGCTCTACGAGGCTGCAGCTTGCCTGGGGCTCCCTGTCTGCTCTGGAATAAATCTCRCACCTCATCTACAGTGGGAATCAAGAGTGACCGCAGAGGCTGGATGTCTCCCAAGTGACGGCAGATGCTAATGCAGATGGTACTGGCGTGATTCCCATTGACAAGTCATCAAGTGGGACTGGCCAGGCCCTYCTGGGGGCCCTCCTGCCCAGACCCAGTGGTGTCTGGGTCTGCAGTGACCCAGGAGGTGGTTCCCACCATGCTGGGCACAGCAGATGCTGTCCTGGGTGGCTCCCTCTTCCCGCCACTTGCAGGTAGTGAAATTATTGCTGTGGTGACTACAACGGAAAGCGGTGACAAGAATGGAGGCATGTAGTTGCAGATATGTCTCAGAAATAGTGTRTCTGGGCAGATCCAGGCATCTGCATTTGTTTGCTTTAAACTAATGGATGTGAACAAAAAACCTTCTGGTTTTAAGCAAAAGCTTTCATTCAGGCAATTATTTAGTTAAATGATCCTTCAAAGAAGGAACTTGGAAGGGAAATGTCTCAGCTCACTAAGGGAGTTAAAAGCTACTCCAGAGCTTGAAGTTATGGTGCTGGCCCTGGCCCAGACTATGGATTCTGGCCCAATGTGAACCATCCTATATCTTCACAGTATAGTGCAGAACGTGGGCCTTRCAGAAAACCCTCCTTCAGGCAGAGAAGAGTGCCTGGAGTTTGGATAGGACACCCATTTTAGTGACTGACACTTGTATTTCATTCCTCTCCTTACTGCAATTCTTCACTGAAAGTGAACACATTTCAACAAAAAAAAGGACAAAGTTTGAGTTGGATTTTCTGTACCCAGCTGAGTGGGGACTTGTGTGATACCTGTGTCCCAGAGTCTACTTTATCGAGCATCCCAGCTATAAAGTCATAAAGCTACCACTGCTCCTTGGGTGGGAATGACACTTTCTTTAGGAGACCAGCCTCAAAATGATGATCTGAGTCCAGAAATATGACTTGGCTGTGTCTGAGACTTTCTAAATATTTGCTTTGGCCTGAGCTGTTTGCTGTATTTATGAATTATTTTAGATCCTCCAGCTTGCATTCTCTTTTTGTTGGCTCCTTTCTGTTGGACTTTAGCTGTTCGTTGGAAGAACGAAGAGCGGAAAGCCCCGTAAAGAGAGAAGCTCAGATGTTGAGTGTCTGTCTTCTTCCCCAATGCAGATGAGGTGAACTTGCTGGACAAAATGGCTTTGCATGCGCAGGACCTCAGCAATGTTTCCTTCGGCTACGACGAAGCCAACTGCAGCATCTTGGAGATTGGGCAGTACTCGACCCTCAACATCCCGACCAGGGAGGCCTTTGGGGACAGGTGAGCTGACTTCCAGAGTGGAGGGGGAGAGTTTGAAACCATGCAACATGCTTGTTGGTTTGAGACTATGTTAAGGCCCCATTCCAAAGCAGCATAAAGATAATGTATCCACTCGTCTCTCTTCGTAGCTCGCTGCTGCTTCAACTTCTTCCATCTCTGTTGGTCATGTGCAGGGGACAYGCATCATTTCTAGCCCAGCACAGAGGGGGAGATAGCAATAGGGTGCACAAGTTAAGCCACCAGCATTGCTTAATGTCAAGAAACTAATCTGCAAAGGAGCAGGCCAGGTTAAACCTCTGCTGTACTTGATATCAAAGATATCTGAACTTGGATCTCCTTATTCAAAGAGTGTCTCGTTTGTCAGGATAGAATCCTGACCCCTGTTCTGGGGTGTTTCTAAGCCTCTTCTGTTGAAGATATTCTAGGCTATAAATCATCTCTGTGAAAATAGCTCCAAGGCTATTTCAATTTAGCGTATTAAAACTCAAACCTCCAGTGGCTCTGTGATACAATTCCCCGTCTACAGAGTAAAGATAACAGTGCCATGTCCTTCCCTGGGATACAAGGGAATGAAGTGTATATATTTCTGGATCGCTATTGTGGATCACTGTTGTGTGTCACATTAAGAAAATCACAGAGTGGTTAAGGTTGGAAGGGACCTCTAGAGATCATCTAGTCCAACCCCCCTGCACAAGCAGGGACATCTAGAGCATGTGGCACAGGGTGGCATCCAGGTGGGTTTGGAAGATCTCTGGAGAAGGAGACTCCACAGTCTCTCTGGGCAGCCTTTACATTGTGTATGTAAAATGTATGCGGTGGAGGGGGAAGAGTTAAGGCTAAAGCAGCAAGACTAATTCCACTGGTATTACTCTTTTTGAGTACCTGACCTTCACATCTCAGTGATGGATTGGTAGGTATTTTTGTTGTTGTTGTTTGTTGTGTGTTTAATTCTTGCTTCTCTGAATTCATTAGCTCCTTGACTTGGTTTTCTGTGCATGAGTCTGGGGGGTCTCAGCCGGTGCTGCGRGATGCCAAATGTTAATTCTTTCTGCTAGTTTTGCAGACGAGCTGAGCGTGCTGATGAAGCTCAGGTACTCGCTGAAGGAGGACACCAGCCTGGTGACTGTCCTTAGCCATCGGAGCCAGGTGCTCTTCCAGATAAGAATTAACCCACATGCCTTGATCTTTGTCACCACAAGGAGGAGACACTATGAGTAAGTTCTAGCTCAGATGCTGATTTTTCTTTTTTCCTTTTCATGTTTCTCCTTTTCTCCTCTCAGGCCTGAAAGTAAGGTTTCCTAAAGCAGGCACTTGGAGCTTTGGTGAGGAGAGCTGCCCTGACCCAAGCTGAGCTCGATCAGTCATGTCTCCCTGTCTGAGTGACAGTCTCTCAGAACTGGTGGCATAACTGCACATGTGCTTGTTCCTAGGGAACATCCATGGCAGATGGTGGAGCCAYGCTCCTGCCAGGAGCTCCCTGCAAGCACACATTGGAGATCAGCTGTRCTTTGGCTGTGCTCTGTTGTGGCCAGAATGACCACTGACCCAAGGGTAGWCCCTCTCAGCTGACCTGAGATGTGGTGCTCATGGGCACATCTGCCTGCTTGGTCCATGGTCAGATGTTTCTGCTCCTTCTGGAGCCTTCCTGCTTGGTTAAGTTTCAGTCTGGGGTGGCATTACCATCTATCTGGTAGCATTGATGGGCACAGCAGTGAAAGCTCAGGGCCAGCATGGCTGCCTTGCCTCAACCTGTCATCTCTCACCAGCCAACACGCGCTCATGGTTGCACAGGGAGTCGCAAGAACAAGCAGTGGGGTTGGGGCTGGTAGGACAGAGATGAGGTTCTGTATCGCTGTTTTGGTAGCCTATAGGTCGCCCTGCAAAATCTGGGAATGAATCGGATGAGGATTGCCACAAATAGGAGTAATTTGTCTGATACCTTGCCTGGTTGTAGAGGTGCCCAAATCCACTGGATAGAAACAGTGTCCTCATGCTGCAATATGGCACCTACTTGTGACAATATGGCACCTACTTGTGACAATATGGCACCTACTTGTGACATATGGTAGATGTATTTTCTATTGTACTGTCCTTAACATCTACATTGTGGTTCTGATTTTGCCTCTTTCCTTTCCCTTTGGGGAACACAGGTTCCCAGTTTCCCTACTTGGTGATGGAGCCTGGCACCAAGTTGCTCTTGGCATCTCCTTGGAGAGACTGGAGTTGCATGTGGACTGTCGGCTGCTGGAGAGAGTGAGCTGGTCCAATTATTTTGGGCTGAGGGTCACCACGCAGGGGCTAATCATCATTGGAGGCCTAATCGAATCCTTTGAGATTCCTTTTGAGGTGAGAGYTTGGGCAGACCTGGCATGTCTGCGTTTGAGGACGCTTTCTTTAGTTGGGTGGCGTGAGGTTGCAACTCTTCAGAAATCTGGTTTCCTCTCCTGCTAAGGCACACCTTGCATTTTCATGGCATGGAGGATGAACTGGGTAAAGACTTTGAAGTATGCAAAACATTTGCTTCTGGTTTAGGGAGACACATGCATCAGTGGTAGAGAACCCCTGAGAGATGGTCCTCTGATGTTGCTCCCTGCCGTGAGAGCAGGGGGCCTCTCAGATGAGATTTAGGTAGAGTTTGAGTTGATGTTTATTTAGTTACCTACTGGTTTCTCATAAGGGCATTCTGAGCATTAGGAAGCACAAAACAGCTTTGTGGATGTCTGGGGCAAGATCCATAGGGGATGTTGTGATGGAGCAGCCTCATTTCCACCAGGGCAATGTGGTCTGGAGAGGTGGAAGGAGAGAGTTGCCAGCACTTGTTTACCATGCTGTGGTGCTCAGCCTGTGCTGCCAGTTTGGGCAGACACCAGCTCTGAGCTAACTGAAGGTGCTGTATTCCTGAGCCTGACCAAACACAGCCTCTCACACACCTTCCTGTGACTGTGAGCTGTGCCATGCGGCGAGGTCATCTGTGCAGTCAGCAGGCAAGGGATTTGATCAAGGAACTTGTGTCTGCAATGTCTGTGGTATTCCATAGCGTCTCCAGGGTGCCTTTGAGATTCTTATTATGTACTAYCAGCATGAAGCCCTTCTCCATTTCCGCAGGGTAGCTCTAATCTCCCTCTTCTGCAGCAGGCTGCCCAGCCAGACCCTCAGCCTGTGGAGGAAGAGTTCAGATTTCTGTTTGGATCCGGTGATTAAGAGATCAGCTGGCAGCTCTGACATGTTCCTCTTGGCACTTGGTGCTGCTGGCAGGTAGCAGAGGAGCATCAGGTGGAAGGAGCAGGCTCAGACATCTCCCCTGTCTGCTCATGTCATGCAGAGAAGCTACTCGTGCACTAGTGGTGCTGTACTGCTGACAGATTAGGTCAGCTGCCCTGAGCTTATCTAAGGAAAAGAGAAGGCAACCTAGCAAGGTGCATGAGAAAATTMCTTCTGCGTCTTTTCCTCCCCAGGGTGCTCTGCAGCAGCTGACTTTTGTGATGGGAGACCCCACGGCTGCCAGCGAGCACTGCCGCAGCTACAACACAACCTGTACTGGCTCCCTCCGCCCCAAGACCTTCCTCAAGCCTTCACATCCACCGTGGAATCATGCACCAGCTGGGCCAGAGGTGTGACCCAGGGTGACGGACACACGTGGGGAGTGTGGGACCAAGCCCTTGTCTGGTGCAGCCTGAATCAAACGGAAGGAACCAGCCCCGTGGGTTGATGCATCCTGGAATGATCTGGGTTATGTGATGAGATGCAGCAAAGTTCTGRTGGGCATGGTGGCCAGCACACAGATTGGTTCCTTCTTGTTGTTCAAACCCTCTGTTAAAGTTGGAGAGTTTTCATGCACCCAGAAAATGAGTTAGAGGAAAAAGTGGAGTCAAAGAAAGCCTGGGTGTGTTAAAGGACTGCCCCTGTGCACGTGTTTAAAGCAGGGAAGTTCTGACGAGCTATTGAGTAATGCTACAGCTGGAGATTCCCTTCCTGGGAGGGGAGTGAAAGCTGCACTCAGGCAGTGTGCTCCCCTTTGAAAAGTGCTTGTCCCCAACACGGTCTTTGCATTGCACTATTCGGTGCATGCTCCTTTCAGGTGTTTTCTCCTTGAAGTTGTCAGCATAGCCGAAAAACAAAAGTTTTATGGATTTTTCATTTACAGCATTCAATAATTCTTTAAGAAATGTTCCCATGGAAGCAAGCCCTAATCAATAGTAGTAAATCCCTGAGAGTATGAACCACCCTGCMTTTCCTTGGGAGCCAGGACTTGGGCCAAGGAGACCTGTTGTCTCTGTAGGCCAAGCACTGAAGTCAGCCAGGATGGGTTTTCAGTGACAAGTGCATCTGCCTTTTAGGAAAAGGKGGGGCTGCTCAAGTTGGTTGTCTCCTTGCCAGCTGGAAAGGCTGCTGTGGCTATTTGCAGAAGGCTTGCTTCACCGAGAAAGGGAGTTCCTAGCATCATCGCTGGCACTGGACTCCTGTGTGTCATGTCCTTGGAGTGGCCCAGTGAGGAGCTGGGAAGGCTGGTGGCAAGGGGCTGGGTGTCAGGTGGGTCATCTGCCCCCTCTCCATCTCACTTGCCAGTTTCTTGCCCTGGGTTTCTAGGTGCAAAATGAGCCCCAGCAGCCAAGATGCAGCGGCAATGCTCTGCTCGTGTTGCTTTCCCACTGCATCTCTTCCCTCGTCTCTGATCCTGGGATGGATTTGCAGTTACTTAATACCCTGTGCTGTGCTGCATCAGTTTCCATATTTATTATTTTAAGAGGAAGGTTTTTGGAAAAGCCCTAATCATAAGAGATTAACTAGGAGTTGGCTTTAACAGAGAAAGCCAGACACGTCATAGGGAGCAGAGAAGAAGAGGCCATGCAGTTTATTTGCCTGGTTTAAGTCAGATCACCATGTCTGCGTTCACAGGAAAAGCTACAGCCAACCCCAAAATGATACCTGTTGTTTCTCATGTTGACAGCCCTTAGTTACTGGTGATAGCTCCTTAAGGAAAGTCCAACTCACTACTTAAGGCTAAAACAGAGCAAGCTTCTATGATTAAACAAGCTATAGGAGGTSTGCTCTGAGCCCGCAAGGCAATGAATTCCTCTTAATGTGCTCTTACTATCTGTTATCTCGTGCTCTGTGGGCCTAGAGCACTCACTGGAGAGGCTGCAGTGGCTTAGCCGACACAAAAGTGGTTTWATTTTAAGCTTCAGTACGTTGACTRCAAGTGTGAATCTATGGGATAACCCTGCCTGGCATCACACCAACTCCCATCCCTTGGCCCTCCATAGAGCTGAGGAGCTTCAAAAAAACACTAAACCCACCCAAGAACTCAAGAGGTCCAATCGAAAGTTATTCCCTAGCGTAGATATGGACGGCTGGTTCCCAGGGTGTGTTCCCTGGATGCTTGCTGGTCAGTTGGAGGCAATGGGTTAAATGCCAGAGCCAAAAAAACACATGTACTTGAGTGAGTTCTGTTCCTTGGCAGTGATATTCTTCCTCTTTCCCTCCATCTGTGTAGGTGCCAAAAGAAACCAATGAAATCCAGGACTCATCTGCTCAGGTATGACTCTCCTACATGGCCTATGGGAGGTATGTGCAGGGGAAGCCTTCTCCACATTTCCTGCTGGTGTGTCTGGCCAATGCAATGTCTCCTGGGGAAACCAGTCAGTGTAATGACAGAAAAAAAAAGAAAACAGGCAAGGCTACAAGTTGGTTTTCTTTGAGCTCTCTCTTAATTGGCTGGAATGTAATGTGCTGTCTCAGAAGCGGTGGAATTTAAGGTGAGCTCCCTGGACACTTGGTTTGAGCCCAAGGGGGTGGCTTAATGAAGGCATTGATGAGAAAGTTGTGTTATATGTCTAGAACTGTAAGTGTTGCTTCGTCCTCCATTTGAGGTGTTGGCATCTGTGCAGGGAAGACTTGCTGCCTGCTATCGTTGATCTGGAAGGGCTGAGGTTGAACAGTGGGGTAAGAAGCAATTCTGGGTGTCGATGACTGTGGTGGTCCTTGGGAGAAGCCAAATTAGTGCAAGTTGGTGCTGTCTCCTGCATCGGGGCCCCTCAGAAGATGCAACCTGAGCCAAACAGGCTGCAAGGCCTGTATGTTTCAAGTTCATGTGTGACTTCTAGCCAAGGTTGTGTTTGAACTCATGCAAACAGATATCCCAATGAGGAAACTTGCCAGCAAATGTAAATTGAGCCTTTCTTGTATGACTGAGCAAATAAGGAGTCCTTCTGTCTTCCCGTCACCTTCTCAGGCTTTGGTGTTAACCGCTTATGCGTGGTCTTGATTCTCACACCTGGTTTGAAGCGTTTAGCTATGCCACACTATTGATGGCTCCTTAACACAAACCAGGCTGCTAAGTTTTAGTAAGTGGCTCTTTTACAGTTGGATTTGTGCTCTACATGTGAGAGGTTTACTCAGGGCACAAGTATCATAGTAGCAGGCAAGCTAGGAGACAGGCATGGACTCGCCCTCTGCTACTGTTCTGCTGATGCTGGTACTTGGAGGATGGATTTCTACCAATGATAATGAACTTGAACTAGTGAGGAAATGGCAAAGTTGCTTTTTCTTCTATGTATCTGAAAATGTCCGTATCTCCCAAGAATTAATTCTTGAGTCTGGATCAGTGTAAACTGATGAGATGCTGCCATAGAAAGCAAGGAAGTGAAATTCATGGGTCCACAGAGGAAAGGCTATTGATGTTCTGGTTTTGGGACAAGTTTGTTTATTTTTTTCCAACTCTTAATCAAGACCAGAGATACCTCAAGATCTTTGTTGTTAAGGGCTYATTTGGATTTATTAAAAACAAACAACAAAAAAGAGCTACTAATCTGTAACAGCTTAAAAATAATGGAGAGCAGATCAGCTCTCCTGCAGTGACTGTCCAGAGCTGTAGGTTGTAGTTGCACTTTCTGKTTTTTCATTGTGTAGATCAGCTTGCTACTGTGTCCTCCAGTTTCTAACAGTCATTAAGTAGTTGTAAAGGGGTGATGTGATGATGGAGAAAGATACATAAAATGAAGGCCATAGATCAGTTTTGTTGCTGGCAACCTAAATCACAATGCSTTGTATCTTTTTTAAGGGGGTGGATTATAATTCATCAGTAATCTTGAAAAAAATGGGTAGTTCTGACACATTTCTCTCTCCATCTTCTATCTCTTGCATCCCACAGTCGCTGGGTCTGTGGGATGGTGGGGTAGGTTACTAGGTTGAATGGCTTTTTCCAAAGCAATTCCATTTGGGATCTGAAAGTTGCAAGCTAAATACACCCCAAATCCCACAGATTTCCAAAGTGTCTTTGGAACTGAAATTGCACCAGTTGAACCAATTGGAGAGTTCAGGCTGGTTCCTAGATTTTTTTTCTTGATTTTAAAGTCTCATTTTGCTACTGATCTTATGGTGTTGGAGTCAGCAGTCTTAATTGCTGATTTATTTTTTTTTAATAGTAGCTGCTCAGTAGTAGTCAGTAGACATGCTCACTGTAAACATCAATAAGGCGAATCTCTTGGCATCTAAAATCTCTGCAAGTTTTTTAAATTTCCAGCCTGGTGTCTGTGCTGGAAGGGGTTGATTTTTGCAATATTTCATCCTTCTGGTTTAGAGGGTGGGCTATTGCAGAGGGACAGGCCGAGAGGATGCCTGGACCAAGGCAGCCCTGGCTGCCCGCCCCACTGAACCCTCTTGCAGCCTCAAAGGGGAGATGTGGAGCTGGGCTGGAAACACTTTTCTGGTTTTATAGCACATGCAAGCCAGCAAGGAGCTTTTTGCCAAAAATAAGTAATTTTTCAGAAACAATTTCAGGAAGCAGAACGTTAAGCAAACCAGAACAGTGCACTGGGCGAGWGTGTGTGTGTGTCTGCTCCTCACTTTGCTGGTGGGAGAGATGCTTGTGTGTGGCACAATTCATGAGCATGTCCCTCCTGCCAGGTCAGGCAAATTTTAAGCATCAGTGAATGAGCTTGTACTTTATGACCTAGGTAGCAAAATAAAGGACCATCTGTGAGATTTTTTTTCCCTACTGTCTCAGTTTTAACTAAAAATCCTTATTCTGAGGTTTTGAAATATGATATTCAACAGAGACTTTATTTAACACAATTTTCTTTGCTATTTTTGATCACACGAAGAAGCATTCCTGCTGAATGAAGCAAAAAAAAAAAAAAAAAAAAAGTGGTGCTCTTGATTAGATGCAATTCATATACGGAGAAGGGGAGAAGCTTGGTTTATTGCAAAAAAAAAAAAATTCAAATATATTGGGAACCTCCATTGTAAAGATAACTTCAAAGCAGTTAATGGAGATGTAGTTGCTAATTTCTTGTTAACACTTTTTGATTGCTTAATGTCAAGGTGCTATCAGAGCAYCTGCTCTCCTTCCTTGCCTTCAAATCAAAACAGTTTGCCTTCTTAAGTCAGAACATGTACTTATTTTGGATTTTTAAAAATAATTATTGCAAACTACTTGTACTCAGCCCATCTTGGCTAGTGAAGATGAACTGGTGAGGAGCTAATGCCGCTCTAGTGCCCCACGGGTCCCTGCTGGTGGTTGTTCTCTGGGTAACTTGTTCCAATACCCATGTGTGGGTTTGGATGTGACCAGAGGCCTGTGGCCCTGGACAAGCAGGGCGGCCTGGCACAGAGGCACCCTTGGCTCCTGGTTKTTCTCCTGAGCTGGTACCAAGCTGGGGGCCCCAAAGTGTCTTGTTGTGACTGACATAATCAGCTGCTGGAAAACCATTTTCTCAGGTAGGAGATAAGGTGCCACCAGACATCATTGASAAGGCTAATTATTTTGGTGTACAAGATAGTCATTTCCCAATCTTATTGCCATACACAAACCAATCTGCTGTCCTTCCTTACATAAAGTGGTGATGAGGGCATCAGTGGGTTGAGTTACTCCRTTCTTGGTTAGCAAGTTGCTCCTGCACAAGTTCCTGCTCTCCTGGGCCCTGGGCAGCTGGGCATGGATGGAGTTGTGTGGGGATGGATGGAGTTGGCAGTGAGGCTGAATCTCCTTCCACCCTTTGAGGAGGGAAGTGCTGGGGAGAAGAGGATGGAGCTGATGCTACTACYAGGAAGTGTTTCTTCCCTTGCTATAAACACTATAGATCAAAGTTATATTTTCTTTGACCTTATCTTCTGCTAAACTCTTCTTTAAGATTTCTTGGAAACTATTCTTCTTAAATGAATGCAGATTCCTTTGGAAATAGTCCTTCCTTAATATCAGCTTTCCCAGAATGAAGCATGTCCCAGACAGTTCTTTCTACAGGGAGTAGTTAGAATGTGTTGAGGGGGTGGGAGAGAAAAGAAATAATGTTTAAAATTGTCTTGTCCTGACTCTGAGCTTCTAATCCTGTTGTACCTTTGTCTGATAGATTGGAAAAGCCGTCTATTCTCATAAGTGTTCACTGAGAAGGTGCTAAGCCTCTCCAAATCTTCATTCAGCCTGACCAGGGTGAAAACAAGGGAAGCGCTCTAAGATAGTTGCCTAGATTCCCATTGTCGATGGAGGCAGAGATTGCCGCTCRTGGTCGGATTTTACTCTGTCCACCGCTGACCAAGTTTGCTTCCATGTGAGCTTATCTGCTTGTTCGTAGCATCAAGTCATCCCAACTCACTTGCCCTGCTGAAGTCAAAGGTCTCTGCATCAGCACTGTTATATTTATCAGCAACACTCACTAATCTTCTCAGGAAAAGATACCAAGTGCATTGTGCAGGATCCCTTTTCAAAGCCGTGGCATTAATTGCATTATCTGCTGTTTCTTTGTTAATGAGCCCCGTATCAGTCGCCTGTTCTTTGGCTTTGGAGCAGTCTCAGGGAAGAGGTCTGTAATTACTCAAGGCCTCCTGGTTGCTCTTGCACATATTGGCACAACATAAAGGGTTTTTCCCCCCTAGTCCCCTGGAACTTCCCCAGGTTTCGGAGCCAAATTGAAAATCAGTGTTCATGTTGTGGAGAGTCTGCTCTCTCAGAGCTTCATAGATTGAATTATTGGGCTGGGACTGAAGAATGGTCTTTATTTAACCCTCCGTCGTGTCACTTCAGGAATGGAAAGTGTTTCATTATGTCATCTGCTTTTACCCAAATGTGGAGCAGAAACGTGGCTTTTACGGCTCTGTCTTCCCATGTCCTTCTGCATTTGTTTTGTTCAAATCAGTTTTCCATAAATCCTGGGTTCTTAGTTGCTTATCCCATGCCACTCCCCCTTTCCTTTTTTTTTAATAATATGCCATTTTAATGGATACTTTAAATATATGTTCTTTCCCCTTTCCCACCTATAACTTTTTTTTTAAAAACCCTACATGCCATTTCCCTCAATGTTGTTTCTTCTGGGCAACTTCTAAACGATTTAAAGCATTTCCTAGTTTTTCTTTCTCAGCTATTTCTTCTCATAATAGGCTTTAACTCTAAATTTGGAAGCTCTAAAAGCGTAAGTATGTACGTTTGTGATCTTGGGGGCTTTTTTTTCTGTTTATGCATAGTCTGTATAATGCACTTAAGGGACCAGTAGCTTTTAGCTTGGGCCAGTTCCTCATGAGCGTTCCAGTTAAGTCTCTAGCACGGAGCTTTCCCATGCTGGAGCTGAACGTGGAAGTGCTCGTCTGGAAGGGCTCGCCTTTGGAATTTTGGAAGGGCTCACCTTTGGAATTTTGGGAATTCCAAGGATGCTCTAGATCAGGCAGCAGGGATTAACCCCTGCTTTCCTTRGAGTCTGCATCCCCTAGTGTGGTGGGATTTGCACTGATTTATTTACTGTGTGTTGACTCCAGCTATTAAATAACAGACTGCCTTAGCCTCTGTCACTGCAACAGTGCACAGCCCTGTATAATTAGGTTAATACCATATGTACAGCTGGTATAAAGAACATTTAAACCTGGTGCTTGGACAAGTGGAGGCTGACTTTAAGTCCTGCCTTTGTACGGTATTCTTCTGCTCCTGGTGCCATTCCCTAGCTTTGTCTCTGCAGTTTAAAATGAGGTTGGATTTTTATTCCAGTGCCTCTGCAAGACTGTAAAGCACCCGCCAGTCTTTGCCTTGCAAAGCAGAAGCCAGACCTGTAATGAGCTTTTTGCCTGTGTTTTGATTCCTGTTCTGCTCCCCAAGGGGGTCCTTTGGCTCGGAGCCCCTGCACTGATCTGCACTGCAGAGCCCAAAATAGCTTTCCCATTTCGTCCTGTTCCACCACTTAAAACAGGTGATTCTCTTCCTTTGAAGAACTGGCTTTTAAATCCATGGCTTTATGGGATTGTTCTCGTGTGGCCTGGTCTCGAGGATGGGTCTTTAAGCTGGGTCACCCCTTCTACCTCTGTATTGAACAGTTCCTGGCTAACGATGTCTGTGCTYGGTGGGGCTGTCGTCATCTAGTCCTCATGATGCCCCCAGGAGGAGCGAGGGCTTGTGATTTTGCATTAATTTTCCTCTTCAGAAGATGTGCAGAATGAGGTGCAAAAAGTCCACTTTTAAGAGAACTTGACTTAAACTTTGTTATGCTGTAGCTTCATTCATTGTAAAATATGTATCTATATAAAAGAAATGTTTTTAAAATATTTTCGTTTTCTGATTCTAAAGCACTTTCCTAACACTGAATGTTAGTTCTGTCCTCCCCAACAAAAATGGGATTGCAAAATAAAACAGTGGATAGGTTTCTTCAGGCTGGGCTGAAGTGCCTGGGTGCAAAAGGTGGCTGGTATGGACAATGGAGCATGTCCTTTGAAACTGCCCTTGGTTTGGTTGTAGCTTGCTGAGAAATTACAAAGAGCAGGGGCTACGATAGGAGTAACATGGAAGTCATCCATGAGAGACATCCTTGGGTAGGTCCCAGAAAGTGAAGTTGTTCCTCTGGTTGGTGTAACCTGTGAGCAGAACCATCGACTCCACTGAGCAGAGCCATCCCTTACCCTGCCAGGGAGGGGCCCTCCTAGGCGATTTAGTTCCTTATAATTAATAGCCAAACTGTTGTTTAAGTTGTACTGTTGTACARCTGATTCTTCTGGAGTTGAACTTTGGCCAGTTTGTTGTTTGTTTTTGTAACCTGCTTAACTAGAAATGGGTTAAACCTAGYGCTGCAGGGACTCTTAATTTGATCTGAGATCTGGCCTATGTGTGACTTTGAAGAGGCCTCTTAAGGATTTGGTACTAGTATGCACTAGTATAATTGAATCCATTAGTTCAGATATATTTGAAAAGGCTAATTCAAATCAGAGCATTGGTGAACGTGGCCAAGGAGGAAGGTTTCAAAGGCAGCCCAGCTCCTTCCCCGGACATTGAGGCCCTGCTGCTGCTGTTGCAGCTCCCGGGAGCAGGGGATAGTGGCAGCAACTGCAGCTGGGAAAGCTCAGACYGCTTTTCAGCTGCTCTGGAGATGCATCCAGGTGTCCTAGTTCCTGATTTTTGTGAAGGACACCTGGATACCAGTAGTTTGAAGCTGCCTTGGTCCTCTGGGCATGTCCCCTTGCATCCAGCACGAGCATCCCAGCCGTGGTGCTCAGCACAGCATGCCCAGGTGCTGCTCCTCTGCTGCTAATGTTCTAGGGGCAACATCCAGAAGATGGGGAGGCTTCCAGGGATGCTGCGTGTTTATTTAATGTGAGGGTTAGCCACAAGAATGCATACAGCAACTGCTGATTGCTTTCAGATGGTTCTTGTATCAGCTGAGGGAGGTTTTCCATGGGTGAGTCTGCTGAATAGTTTCTGCTATTAAGAAAATTGGCCATTAATACATTGGGCTTTCCTTACCCTAAAGGTCAGTAGTGCCTGGTGAGATGGGGAAAGCAAAGAAATGGCAAGCTGCAGAGGGCAGAGGCCACGAGATGCATCATTGCTGCTCTTCAACTGGAGTCCAAGTGCCAAGTGAGAGAGGTCATATGCCTGATGGTGTGCACACTGGTGAAGGCTTGAAGGACCTGCCTGGTCCTCCTGAGACCTCCCTGTGTTGCCACCAGGCTCTGGACATTTGACCTTGCTGTGGATAAGGCTGATGTCAGGCAGCCCGTCCTTGGCCACTCCATGTGTTGCATGATGTCAACTGTCGGTCCRATAGCTTTCACCTTTAAAAACATATGCTCAAGTGGTTAGGAGCTGATCCTTCTGTTTTCCATGAGAATTAGGTCTTACTTCTGAGGAACAGTACAGGCCTCGTGTTTTTGGTGTAAAGTTAGAGGAGAACATGACTGGTGGAGGCTATACTGGCTTGATCTCTAGGCTGCATGTCTGCACTGGAGGGTAGGGAGACTCTTGTTCATTTTCTGACTTTGTAAATGGCTTTAGCTAAGCTCCCATGGACTTCTGCTAGAGAAGTGCTGCATTCTGATTTATTACCTGGACACTGAGCCCTGTTCAGAAAATGCATGTTTTAGCTTTCATTGCTCTTTGAGACCATGATGGCAATGAACTTGTGTGTCAGTTGGTTTAGCAGCACCCAGGGGAAAATTGGAGAGCATCTAATTGCCAAAGGCAGCCTGGGAACGAAGCAGGAGGGTTTCTTTGTGAGGAGTCAGCTGCTGCTGCAGGACCAAGGGCATGCCGTGCTGGCAGGAGGCTGGGTTGGATAGCGGTGTTTGCAGGAGGCTTTTGCTGGTTTTGAACCCTCTATCATGCATTTTTGCTCTTCCTCCCAGGGGGCTTGTGTGCTTGGCACACAGTAACAAGTCAGCAAACTCGTGTTCCTGGGGATGCCAAGACAGGTTTATTGGCAGGTGAACCAGGGATGGCAAGGTCCCAAACCCAAGGAAGTTCACTTTTGGAATTACGGTCTTTCYAGCTCTCTACTGCTTATCTTGACTCTGAGCTTGCATTTCCTTTTCTAACTCGCTTTCCCTTCTCCCTGCTCTTCTCCTGTTTTGTGCATTTTAGCTTTTAGTCGCAGTCTAAAGTCGCATCTAGTATAGGATCACTGGACCTTGTTGTTAGTGGTGTTTCTTGCAGCTTCTCTCAGCTTCTCCTCCTTGGTGTTGGATTGCCACTTGCCTATTCAAGACCTGCTCTAACCACCTTTCCTTAATAAGACCACCCGTGACATGTGCGACAAACTCCTGATGCCACAGGAAGGCTGGATGCTTGGTAAGGTTGGTAGCACTCGCTGGAGGAACAGGATAGTGCAGAACCAGAGGAAATGGGAAGAGAAAGGTCAAGGGAATTGTCTTGTCCCCTAGATTCCTGCAAGGACAGGCCCGTCCCCATCCTGAATCCCAGAACTTTGTGATTCAGGGATGCTCCTGTTCCTGACACCAGCTGGGTTGCAGAGGTGCTGCTTGTGGATCATGGGCATCACTGCCCTGCACGCTGTTAAAGCATAACTGCTCTCTGGTGTGGTTTAAATGATCTTTTCCTTTAAAGAGTTTATGGAGTAGGGGACGGCTGGAGTGTGGGAATGGAATACAACTCCCTTCCTCAACTCTTCTTCTATGCATTTAACTCCAAAGCAGCAATAGCTTTAAAAAATCCAAACCAAAGGACCAGAAGCCTTCAGTGCACGTGGAGCTTGGTCACAGCCATGGCAGGAGGGGGACAGGGCCAGACTTGGTGGCTTCATTGAGTGGCTAAGGAGGCAGAGTTGGGGTTTGCTGGCCCCAGGTCTCTGTGCAGCTGCTGTGACGGCGGCAGAAGGGGTCTCATCTGCTGGAGGGAGTGGAGCGTGGGCATTGCTCTTGGTGCGCTCTGCCAGCATGGGAAGCACCAGCGTGTTGTGATGGTTTTCCCAGGTGAGCATCTCCCTGGTGCAAGGTACAGGGCAAACCCAGAGCCAAGCATGAGCAGGCTGGATCAAAGAAGCTCTAGTGGAGGTTTAGCCACGTCTCCTTGTACCTCCCTGCTCCCCAGTGCCACGCAAGGCAAGCGTGGACCTGCATCTCCCTCTAGTGACTTCTGTGAGATCATCCCTGCTCATCCACACTGCCACGCGAGCACCAGCTAGAGTGGAGGAMAAAGCATGCTCCTCTTGGTGCCAGGAGCTGAGCAGAAAGTGTCTTTCCTCGCTGCAGCTCAGTGCAGAGAAAATCCAGGCACACACCGACATGTTTGCGGTGGTGCAAACTCCATCAGAGAGTTGCACTAGGACTGGGTATAAAACCAGACGTGTTCGATTTTCCCATGACTGCTAGGAGAGGCAGCAGCTAAGTGAGGCCGTGGGGATGGACTGATTCCTGGTGTGGCTTTACAGACTTAGCTTTGGTGGGTTTGGTGATTGCTTCCAGGCTCAACTTTCTGTTGCTTAACTGTGGGATCTGCATTAAAAATAAACATATTTCCCCCTCTTCCTTTTCAGGATTACACATTCACTGATTCTGACTCGGCTTYGGGGCCACCTTGGACGTGGGAGGATTCCCAGGAAACGCTTAGCCTGCAGCCTGGTGGAGGTGCCTCAACATCAGTCTCTGCTACTGACTTGCCATCTGCTSACCAGGAGGAAAGCCTCTCTATCGAGGAGGAAGGCTTTCAGCTGCTGAACTCCACCTATAACAGAACCACTGGCCCAGGCAGGCCAGGGCTTGACAGGAGCAGCCCACCAGTGGCTGGCAATACAAGTGAGTCCATAGTTGCTGCTGTCTCCTTTTCTCCTGAGCATCTTCATAATGCTCGAGTGGCTGATGGTGCTTTTATCCTTCTAGGAGTATTGGCCGAAGCAAACAGAGCAGCTGTCAAGAAGGAACGTTCCTCAGATCCCCAGGGGGAGAACGTCACCACGGAAAAACTGAAAGGTGACATGGGCTCTCGCTCGTGGCCCTTCTCCAGCAAACCTGTTGATGCCATTGTTGGTCTGGAGACTCCTTCCTCCTTCCCAAAAGTCTCTCTGCCAGTCAGTCGGACAGCCAGCTCGGATGCACATGTACCCAAGGTCCTTCCTGAGCCCCCAGGCAAGGGGGAGGTCAGAAGTTCTCTGGAACATCCTTTAGAAGCTCCTCTAAGGCCTGAGATGGCCACAACTGCCCTGCAGACAGGGCCTAGGAAAGGTGGTGTGTACCATAGTGTGCCTGGAAGCAAAGAGAAGAACCTTGTGGACCACCAAGAGCAGGGGGTCCTGCCAGCAGCAGATGGACAGCAGGTTTGCATGAAGCCGGGACCACCAGGGCTGCCAGGACCACCGGGTCTGCCTGTAAGTGGAGGAGGCAATGGCTACRGGTGCAAAAGGGTGGATGGGGTGACACTTTGTACAGTGGGTAATCCTCGGGCAATGGAGCAGCGGTTCAAAGCATCCCTTAGTCCTAAAGCACACAGATTTGGGGAAGGCAGGGAGGTGCAGGCAGATAGGTTGAAATAAGAAAGCTTCCTTATGCCAAACACGTTGGAGTCTGGTCATCAGGTCATTCCTCACACCGGTGTCTGTGCTGGTCTGAGGTGGGGCTTTGCCTCTTGTATCTGCTTCTCCCAAGCCTGGGTCACACCTGTGGGACCAGGTAGCCCCGGACTCACCCAGAGCATCTGGCAGCGTTTGTGGGTGCAGCTCTTCCCCTCCTCGCTGTGGTGAGTGGTGGGTGCAAAGTGTGAGCCTGGTGCTTTGCGACAAGAACCAGGCAGATAAACAAACCTTCCTTGTGTGCAGTGGATGTCCAAGCATCAACCCATTTGCTTGATAAGCAGCAGGTTTCCTGATGTCTCCTAAAGAGCTTTAATTGTGATCAAAGAGAAAGAGGATGATTTTCTTATCTCAGTTCTTTGGAACACCCAGAGCACTGGTTGCTCCCCAGGACAAGAGGGATGTGGAGCTCCTAGAGAGGGTCCAGTGCAGAGTAACAAAGATGATGAAGGGACTGGAGCATCTATCTTATGAGGAAAGTCTAAGCGAACTGGGCCTGTTTTCCCTGGAGAAGGTTGAGAAGGCGGTCTTATCAATATGTATAAATAAATGAAGGGTGAATGTAGGCAGGAAGAGGCTGAAGTCTTCTTGGTGGTGGCCAGTGACAGGACAAGGGGCAACGGGTGTAAGTTGAAACACAGGAGGTTCCATCTCTGTGTGAGGAATAATTTCTTTCCTGTGAGGGTGACAGAGCCCTGGAACAGGCTGCACAGGGAGGCTGTGGAGTCTCCTTCTTCAGAGATCTTCAAAAGCTGCCTGGATGTGATCCTGTGCACTGAGCTCCAGGTCTCCCTGCTGAAGCAGGGGGTTGGACTAGATCTCCAGAGATCCCTTCTGACCTTTAAGCATTCTGTGATGATTAAATGGCTTGAGACCATCTCTAGCATAGGAGAGATCACAGAATCCAGTTCTAGGGCTCCCCTCTGTGCCCTCGTCCAGGTCATTGATGAACAAGTTGAACAGCACTGGGCCCAGTACTGATTCCTGGGGTCACCACTGGCCACAGACCTCCAACTAGACTTGGTCCCATTTTACCACTCCCCTCTGAGCTCTACCATCCAGATGGTTCTCAATCCACTTCACTGTCTACTCATCCAACCCACACTTCSAGAGCTTTCCTGTGAGGATGTTATGGGAGATGGTGTCAAAAGTCTTTCTGAAGTCAAGGCAGACAACAACCACGGCTCTCCCATCGTCCATCTAGCATCCAACAACCACATCCATCCCATTGTAGAAGGCTATCAGGTTCATCAACAAAYACTTGGTGAATCCATGCTGACTACTCCTGATCACCTCTTCTTTGACATGCCTAGAGATGGTCCCCAGGATGAGCTGTTGCATCACCCTTCCAGGGACAGAGGTGAGTCTGACAGGCCTTGTAGTTTCCTGGCTCCTCCCTCTTGCCCTTTTGGAAGACTACAGTGATGTTGGTTTCTTCCAGCTCTCCTGTTAGAGAAGGATYGTGTCTACATATCAGACCCTCTGTTCCCTGAATCGAGGAATCCCCACGGCGACAACCCACCTTTTCTCCCTCCTGCTTGTGGTGACAATATGTGGGGTTTGCCTTTCTGACTGCACTACAATTCTTGGAGGAGAGGGGCTCACTCCTTTACTGTCCACCGATTGCTCTTCCTCCTCCAGGGCCRGGGGTACCCAATAGGGTAAAGTGGGAGAAGGTTTTCTCCTGCCACCTCRAGCCTGACTTTTATCCATATGTTGCTGTGCTGTTTTTTTTACCCGTGTGCTTGCTGGGGGATGGAACCTGTAGAAACTCATTGCTGGGCACTTTCTGGTGCYTGCCCCTGCTTCTCTCTTGGTCTTACAGGTCCTTCTTAGCTGTTCAACCTCCTCTTTTAGCTCAGCTGCCGTGCTGAGCAGATCTTCCACCTGCTCACACCTCACATGGTTCTCATCCCCAGTACATGGCTTTTGGCTGCYGATTTAGCTGTCACCTAGGAGGAATGATTAATCATGTTCTCAGTTTTCAGCTTGTGTGGGTCCTGTTGGTCAGAGGCAGGCTAATGCGCTCCACGTGGGGCCCAGGCAATGCCCAAAGCTGCCTCCAGTCCGTCTCGGCATAGCGAGCCTCTGACTTCAATCTCAGAAGGGTCGTTGGTCACTGCTCTCGTTGCTGTCCTTTGCTTCCTCAGCAATGGGACACCTGGAAAACCGTGCTGGACCAGAGCAAAACMTTCTGGTTATCTTGAAATACAATATGTGTATTTTATTCAGATTATTCATCCACCAAAATGTCTCTGTCTTTTAGTCTTGGTGATCTAGGATAGATGCAGATTTAGCAAAGAAAGTCTTCATTGAGAAGTATTTGGATTCATTTATGTGTTTTCTCCAGTTTGTTTCTTTTAGGCATGCTAATTTTGATGCCTTTTCCTTAAAATTCAGTGGTCTTAAGTAGAGTGGAATTGCACGTGTGGTTATCAGTGACCCACATGGATTGCTACAAGTGACCATGTTCTCCTCGTGGTGTGCAACTGAGTGAGAGCTGCCTGGGATGTCTGCGGGTTCAGGGATCGCTTTTGGGATCGTTTCTCCTTTGGATGACATGGATCAGGGCTGTGTGAGAAGCTATTTGGATTGATGGATTGCCACGAAGAGTCAGCCCTTCTGATGATGCTGTAGCGTTTTCTTCTCCCGCAGCTCTGGCTGGGTCTGTAATGAGAGCAAGTGCTGGGTACCAGCAGTGTTGGGTACCTCAGAGCAATCAGACCTGGAGCCAAAGGAGAGATGAATCCTTCTTGGCCCCCTTTCCCAGGCGAAATCCATTTTTTTTGAATGTTCCTGGATGTTTGTCATCAGCATGTCAGGCCTCAGGGGATGCTGGTTAAATTTAGGACTGCTAGCTTCCTCCTCAAGCCATCTTCTTAGTGTAGCTCTTGCAAAAAAATAGGAGAAAATCGCAGAAGGAACAGATGCTAAAGGGTGGTGAAAATATCACAGGAGCCACAGAGGCGTCGTGCCACCTGACAGCCCTGCTGTCATTCCGTYGGGAGGGAGGAGGGAATGCGGCAAGGCGGAATGAGAGCCGGCAGGGAATTGCCTTCCCTTCCTGTAGACAATCCTGGAGTTGTGTGACGTGCCCAAATAAAAGTCATGGCTGGACTTTCTGCTGCATCTGTCTTGATAACCTGCTAGTTGGTGGCCGAGGGCTGCTTGCCAAGGCCACGCTGGGATCTTCCACCATGGGACAACTGTTGGGTGCTTTGCAATATGTTCAGATCGAGACYGGAAGCCAGGGTGGGAAAAAGAACCAGCAAGAAGAATAATCCTCCTGCCTTCACTTACAAATGACGTGAAAGCTTTCCTTTGGGATCTGSACTCAACATTAGCCCTGGTTTGGGTGTTGATGTTCTGCACAGGGTTTACAGCGCGTCATGCGCTGCTGCCGGGTCACCCYGAGCATCCTTACTGAGGCGCCAGGAGGTGGGAGCCAGACTGGAGAGGTGTCTGAACATAAAATCTCAGGTTATTCTTAGAGGAAAGGTTTGGGAATAAAGTATTTTTAGTGTCAACATTCTGGGCTATGTTTTTTTCTCCTTCCCCCTCCTTTGCTAGCAATGTCAATCAAGGAAATCAGAATGTTTTAGGGGAAAAAATGGTGTTGCTGAAATGCCATTTTCTGGAGTTTAGCTTAAAAAACTCCCAAACCAAAAATCTCTTCYTCCTCCTGATAGCAAGCCCTGAGAGTGGGGGAGCACATGGTGCCTGGTCATTCTGATGCAGCTCAGGGAAGGTGCAGCTGTACACAGCAGAGCTCAGAAAGGGAATCAGCGCGAAATTACCCCACTGCTTCTGTATTTAGTGCCCCAGGGGTGACATTCAGACCTGGATAGTTAGTCACAATCAGTTAGCGATGCCCCCCATACCTCAGGGTCTCATAGCCGTGGTTTTGACCAAGCAGGTGGAGATGCTGGAGGGCTTGGAGACAGGGAGACCTTTGAGTGGCAACCCTGCAAGGGCTCTTGGCAAGGCCTCTCTTCCATAGTCCACCCATCTGTGGGGTTCTGCAGCATCTCTTGTCTCTCCAAAATGCTCTGAGCTTGGAAAAGTCAAGAAGCAACTCTATCAGCCAGGACCTCCTCTCCTCATCCTGGGGAGGGGCGGATGGACACATGCACTGACTCTCTAGTTGTAACCATCCATCTTCTCTAAAGGCACTTGAGATGTGTGGAGAAAACACACTGCAAGAGGTGAAAGTGCCTGTTTCCCCAAAAGTTGCTGATTTTTGTGATCTTAATGATGTTCCTTGATTAATTGACTTAATTGTGCTGCCAGTACTCAAAAGCTTCTTGGCTTTTGTAGACCGTATTTCAAAAGGGGTTACCAACAGTAACAAAATATTGACAGGGTTTTCCTCCCTTTATTTTTTTCCYCTTTGTTCCTATTACTCAACCTTAACACTGGTTGTTCAGAGACATGTTTTCTGTTCCTAGGCTCAGATGGAGTTCTGTTGGAGGCAGGCAGTGTTGGGGACAGTGTCGGCTCCTGCAATGGGCAGATGTAGACCCGTCTCTGTTCTTCTCAACGTAGCCACCACCATCGTGTTGTGACACGTGCAGTTACAGCTGTCAGCTCTCATCGGAGGAAGAGCTGTTATGTTGTGGGGTGGCACTGTGTGCGATTCGCAGAGTGAAACACGGGCTCCCTTCTTTAGGAGACCTTTTGAATCAGTTTTCATGTTCTCTCCCAAAATGTTGCAGCCCTTCATTATTCCTGGGGATCTGCACGTTTCTCTGATTTGCATGAAATGGTGTCAGCTTTGGGAGGAATTCATCTGCTTAAGGGAGAGAAGTATGTGCTGACAGTTTTTGAGGAGTGCTGCTGTGCCTGYTGCTGTGTTTTGTGCCATCGTGCACCAGAACGGTCTGTCTGAAGAGCTGCCCTGCTCTGTCGCTGTGGTGGATGTGGGTAGTGCTGACCGAGGGAGCCGAGGGGTGGCAGCTGGTGGATGGTTTGGTTTTTAACCACTCTGTTGCCCCAACTGGAGATCCAACAGTGCAGGGCAACATGACAGATGAGGGTGGATGAAGCTGGGTCTGCTAAGACCTGCTGGGGAGTAGGCCAAGAGGAAGGACTCACAGGTCCTGACGTGCACCAGCTGAAGGCTGACTCAGAGGTCCTTTTGTTGGTTTAGGAGGCCCTTTGGATGGCTTGTGAATAGAAAATGTTAGTGTGTTCCTGCTGCTGCTGCTTCTTGTTTGCACTTTGTATGTCCTTTGGCTGGTGGCACAGCACGCCAGGCATTGGTGCCCACTGGGAGAGATTTGTGGTCACTCCCTGGGGTCCCCAGGTGCCTTGGGAGCTGAAGCTCAATTCTTTAACTTGCTATGAGACACTTTGTGTGGTGAAGATCCGTTTTGGGCAATGTTCTGAGTGCTGCTGTTCCTTCTGGCCGTGCACCTTGGGCTTYGCACACATCCCCTCAGCACCAAGACCAGAGCAGTAGGTCTTGGTGTGGCCTTAGGGCCATTGCTTTCCCAGTTGGGCTGRCCCCACACTCCATGTCACTTGCATTGGGGTCCTGTCCTTCGTTACGTCTGCTCACAATTCCCGGGCTTACTGCAGTGATCCAACCAGTTTGCAAGTGGAGAACAAAAGAAGAACRTGCTGAAGGCCCCAGATATGCTAGTCCAGCAGCAGAGGCATGAGCAGATGCTGCCGCAGCTTCTGGTACATTCCTTTCATGGGGAAAAGCTGTGATCTCCCATCTGACTTTGTTCCTGTCTGGACAGATGCTTCACTAAGCCCTGAAGTGGGGTCATTGCTTGGCTAAAATGTGCATTTTTGACTACAAATGAGCCAGATCAAATCTCATATAAATTAAAAGCTGCAGATGTTTGCATCCTCGTCCAAACTACTGTTTGAGTGGGTGGCCATGGTCCAGTTTTATGGGGTTTTTCTTTTTTTTCTTTTTTTTTTTTTTTTTTCCTTCCTCCCCTGACAGCTCTACATTTCTCCACCTGGTTTCGGGAAGTGTTTGTGCTCCCGCAGCTGTGCGGTCTTGGTCATTTTTGCAAGGGCTGCAAGAATTTCTCTGGTCACCTCTACTGTGGGGGGCAGAGATGCTTGCAAAWAGGGCAGGAGGGGAGGAATGGAGCAGCACAAAAAGGGGTGCATCGCCCGCCCCACTGAGTCGCAGGATTTTTGAGATATTTGTGCTATTGTTTTTCTGGTAACTGGAAGCTAAATCGATCATTTCAGTCCTTGCTTCCCTGGTGTGGTTAGAGCTCTGCTCCTGGCGCTTGTCACCAGTCCTGGTGCTCCTTCAGTGCATTCCTGCTGCCCAGGGAATGGGGGGCACAGGCAGAGATGGGTGATGCAGCTCTTGATTTTTGCCTTTCAGGGTTGTCCAGGGAGACGTGGACTGATGGGACCCAAAGGAGACAAAGTGAGTATCCTGGAAAATGTGTGATATCGAGATGTGGCTTAGGATCTGGGGCAAATGCCACTGATATTCTGATTTTTTTGTTTGTTTGTTTTTTGTTTTTTTGTTTTTCCATCTGGGGGCTCCTTATGCGTGTTTAGAAGAGACAAGAACTATTTTTATTGACTAGTTAAAGCCCAGACTCATGGCTGAGATGACTCTCTGGACAGACCGTTCTACTCTGAGCCACCTAATGGCCTTGCAGAGGAGGTCACCAATGTTTGCTCTCGTTGGGGGCAGCAGAGTGGGTAAAAGAAGCCCTTTCCCTCAAGTCACCTGGAGGAATATCGGCAGATCCAGGTCGAGCTACCAACATGACCCAGTTTTAGTCCTGTGCTGTATCTACCAACTTGCTTAGCCTTTGAATGCCTCAGGTGTTTTTGTGCTCAAGGATTACCTTGGCGTTTGCCTCTCTTCCTCCTTTTGGAGAAGGCTGCATTTTTGTTGTTGTTGTTTTTCTGGGGAGAATGACAAAAACTCGGCCCATCACCGGAGACCTTAGAGGAGCGAGGAAGAGTTTGGGTGTCCCAGTACTGCACCATGTGGTGCGTGTGCTTGTGTCGCGTTGTCACTAGCACCCCAACAACCTCTCTGCGATTCTGGGGATTCGGGAGGGTTTATTCCTACCACCACATCCTAACGTTACAGAGCTCCKTGGCTGTGCTGCACAGCACTGCTGCAGTCCCACAGCAAGGCTTTCCAGCGATGGAGCGTTAGGCTCGTGTTGGTTCTTTCTGGCTCTGCCATCGAYATAGCAATTCCAACGCTTCTCTGTGACTCTTTCCCTATCAATCTTTCAACCTTCTTTGTGCAGAAGTTTCCTTCTTASCCAAACTGCACAGAAGCCAAATTGGTGCTGCCAGGTCACACCATCTCCCCGTGCATGTGTTTGATACCTGTAGCACGTACGTGAGTCAGGGCACATGCATGTGTGTATTTGGCTTATTGGTTTGGCTTTCCCRGGTGTCAGGATTGCTTAGGATCTGGTCTGCATGCAGGATTTTGGAATAGGTCTAGATACAGGCTTCCATCAACTTGCTGTGTGTCAGAGTCTGTGTCCAGTCCTGYACGTTGGCATTGACTCCAAAACCCAAGCTGGTTTTGAGGACCTGCTTGTGTCTTTCTAGGGGTACCCTGGAGCCATGGGGCAGACGGGCCCCCCGGGAGACCCGGGCCCTCCAGGCATGCCCGGCGTCCCTACCGTCGTCCTCTGGAGAAACTCCAGGGAGGACTGGCAGACGTTCACGGTGAGTGCCTGCGTGTGGGAGCTGGGTGGGAGAGCTCAGCTCAGAGAGGTGCATTGAGGGGTTTTGATGGTGCCTTTTGAAGCCACATCTCATTGCCTCCTGGCTGCAGCGGGCTGAGTCTTGCCCAGAAACGTGTGCTGGTGATGGAGGCTCCAGCACAAGCCTCTGGGGCAGTGCTCACCTCTCAGTCCCAATTGCAGCCTGACTTGCTGACTTCCCTTACTGGTCTTGATAACAAATATCACCTCTCACATCAGAGGCCTCAAATAAGGAGTTAATAGAATTGCATAGATCAGGATCTTGGTAACAGAAGCCACAAGTCATATTCACTGCTTGGGAAGCAGGAGGAGAGAAAGAAGGTGACGGGAGGACATGGCAGGAGCCCTCTGCTGCAGCAGCAGGGTGGGAGAGGGGGGCGACCAGCCTGGGCAGCTGCAGGTGCTTGGCAGGAGATGAGAGGGATGCCTGGGAGTCACAGGCTCAGCATGCAGTGCTGTCCAACAGCCGACAGTCTATCAAAAGGTTTATTCACGTGCACCTTGCTGGGCAGGAGCTGCAACATTTTGCAGGATGCATCCCGTGGAAATTCCTCTCCCTTGGGCTTTGTGTGCCAGTGCTTAGCCTAGTGGACATGGAGCAYTCATAAGGCTTGTCCTGCTGGTGGGGCTGGGCCACGTTACCCTGGTGGTGTTAGAGGTGATGGAAGCAGGCTCTGGGCAGTGCTAAGCAGTGCCACATCCCGCCCCAGACCCCACGTTTTGCCAGGTTTGGTCAGGATAGGACAGGAATGAAAGTAGAGTGCTGGTGAGGCTGCCTGCTTGAGCCATCTACATGAGACCACAGTGCTTGGAGAGGCCTTGGAGAAGTTCTGGACTTCACGACAGTGCTGCTCTTGCAGACAAACCCTTGTGATCTTGGGGACTTCTTGGGCTGCCAAGTTGTTTGGAGGGGGGTCAGCCCCTTGAAATGCAAGTCAGAGGAGCAATCGCTCATGCCAGTGTGACATGTGGGAAGTAAGGGACATCCAGGAACTGCTCCAAAGAGCTCCTTTCCAGCATGATGAGTCTTGCTGCCCCGGGGAACGGAGCAAAGGTTTTTGCCCGCGGGAGGCCTCCAGACATGGGGTTTGCCAAGAAGCAGCCCTCAGTGCAGCTCTGTAGAGCTAGAAGCAGCAGAGAGCAGGAGTTGCCTTGGAAATTGCTGTCTTAAATTGCAACTCCTGGTTTAATTAGGGAGCTTAAAAACCTCCAGTGCTAGAGCCTTTTTTTTTTTTTCCCATCCCTTTTCCTAACTGAAGGCAAGAGGTCAAGCTGGGAAATGAAAGCCAGTAACTGTAGAACCAAAGAAAACATTTCTCCACACAAGGACCTATCGCCGCTGCGAGGCCCGAACCTCTGGCAGCTCTGCACCGATTTCTGGCCATAATGTGGGCTGGCAGTACCATGGGGTGGGAGGGGAGCCAGGCTCGTGCTCCGGAGCAAAACCTGCTCCCTGCAGAGGCACCAGGAGGATTTTCTGTGCCCCAGCCACGTGCTGGAAGTTCACAGGACGGGTCGTGTTCACAGGACAGGTCCCATTCCCAGTGCCCTCTGTTTCCTTATGATCCCTCTACATCTCACTCCGCTGCCCAAGGCTGCTCTAAGGAGTGTGTGAAYGATTTCCTGCTCACGTTTCAAAAAGCTGTTAATTTCTGTCCCCCTTTCTGAGGCTCCAAGGTGAGAGTTCGTGTCTCCTGTTGGCTGTTTTGTGCTTTTAAAACATTAACTTTTGTTTTTTCAAGCCTAGTGAAATGACATCCAGACACAGGTGAGCTTGAGTTCATCGATTCACGAGGCAAGGCAGGAGCATTGGCCGTGCTCCAGCGCCCCAAGAGTTTTTTATGAGCTTTTTTTTGATGGAAATGAGAACTGGCTGTGTGAGGGGTTGTATTCTGGCCCAATCCGACTGGCAGGACYGCGCTCGCTTGCTTGTGTTAATCAATTTGGGATAAACTTGAAAGGAACCCAACTGCCTAGTGCAGCATTAGAGCTAGTTAAACGTATCCATTCATCATCTGTCCAGAGAGCTCCGCTTATTATTAGAAATGTTTCCATATGTTGAAAGGTCTATGTTTATTTTGGTTAATGAGTTCCTTGGCTTTATCCCTGCTTTCTTCTCTGGTATCAGAGGACTGATCTTTGGAGGGGGACAGGAGGGGTTCCCATAGCCCCAAACCTGGTAACGATCTTGCTGAGGACATGGGAATCCTGGTGCTCTAATTGTGTCTTTGAGGGGCAAGGAATAAGGTAGGCTTTAGCCTTTGATGTGAGCTGGAGTTTGGAGGAGCTCCTCGCACCATATGTCTGGCCTCACCATAGAGTGAAAGGGAGGGAGSAGGAGGAGGAGAGGACGCACATTTTGGCTCCTGAGTACCTGAGTTTAGCGCTGCTGGAGGAACACGATGCTGTCTGGAAGCCTGGAGTTGTACCAGTAGCTCTGGTCACCCCTCACTGCCCAAAACTTGGAGGGAACTTGCTTGGGAAATGCTGCATCATCAAGATTTAAGACCGTTATGCTGATTTAGAAATACTGTGGGCTTARCTGCTCCTGTGTTGTGTGAGAGGGTTTTTCCTTGGTGGTCATTTGGTCTTAAAAGTGGAGGTACCTGAAAGATCTGACTTGTGGGAGCAGGGGGAAGGCCTGGCTGGCCTCAGCTGATGAGAACTTCCCCTTGTTTGGGGTTTCAGACRGAGCTCTTAGGGGCTGTGGCTTCTGGCTGGCAGCAAAGTGCAGGGTCAAAACATCTGGGTTTAGTTCACTGTGGGATAAATTTGATGTTTTTCCTAGCAAAGTGTGCAAGCTCTCAATTTAGAAACTTTTCAATTACATTATTGAAAAGCTGCATTCTGTCAGGTGGGAGTTTATCAAGTGTCAGGTCTCMGCCTTCTAAGGCCCATAGTGCTCTGTTGGGGCTGGAATGGGGAGCATAAGGAAAATATTCAGTTTTCATCCACTGAATCCCCTGTCAAAATTGTCACACTTCCGCGAAACCCTTGGAGTCCTGTCCGGTAGAGGAGATGTCTTTGGGCYGAGAGGTACTGTCCTGCCACAGGACAGTGAGCAGTGTCGCTGCTCGGTCCTGGTGTTCCCCCTGCGCTTCCCCAGCTGGTTGGGTTAAAGGTGGACATGGCTCTTTCAAGAGGGAGAACCCACTATAACCGTGTCCTTTAGCCTATATATTTAACCACTGGCAATGTGCTTGGAGTAATGGAGGGAGACAGCGAAGATGGATTTATTTTTGATGGATTTGGTTTCTTTTCCCATGGCAAGGAAGGAAAAGCGAGCCCTTGAGAAGGACTGGATGAACGAAGAACAGGGAGAGTGTCCTGCCAGCTGGGACATGGGGGAGGTCCAGAGAGGGAGCTGAGTATCCAAACGTGCTTTGCCTACATTTTCATTTTAAGTAGTATTCCCAGACAGCCCAGTGTCTGCACTGGGCTGCAGGATGGGAAGAGGTAACCTTGACTTTTGTCTTTTGAAATCTGCACACTGTGCAGATAAGAGCCGTGACCCACCCTGAGCTATATAGGGTTGTTTAGCTGTTTAAAGACTCATTTTATTCGCCTTGCACTACTCTCTAGTTCTCAAGCAAAGAGAACAGCTCCAGCATCAGCACATCTAGCTGAGGCCTCRGCAGCATCCTTGGCTTGTGCTCTCAGCATCATCCCATAGCAGCGAGCCCCCAAACGGAGGCTTCAGGCCTGAGTGGGACCTGATGCTGCCTCGCTGCTGCTGCTGCTCTCCCCACTGCACATCTCTGTGGTGCTTTGGACCTTGAGGCCTCTGTTCCCTAGAGTCACATGTGCAGCAGGTACCTCGGGATGCTGCAAGTCCTGCTTCGTCCCAGAGCCCTTCCTGGGAATTTTGTGACTCTCTACATGGCCACCACATGGTACATGTCCCTGCTGATAGATCCAGCGTGTCCCTTGGATCTCTCCATACCTAGCTGTGATGTGTCCTCGTGTTAAACTTCCTTCTGTGACTTGGTATAAAGACTGTGACTTTTATACCAGGTCACTTCAGTGAGTGAGTAATCATTTCTGTGAGTGARAATGAGTGAGAGGAATGCTTCATAGTGCTGTCTTCCCAACGAATAGGAAAAGAGACACTAAAGACAGCAAAAAAACCAGGATCTTTTTTGATGTTTTTTTTTTCCCCTCCCTTTCTTTCAGCAATCGTCATTTTACCAGCTTCTGCATGCAGGGTGGCCGGTGAGTATTGGCCACTGAGTGAGTTTCTGTAGTTCTATTTTTCCTCCATGTGGTTGGCTGGATTCTCCTCTTTCCAAGCTTTGTGGCAGTGAGATCTGTTTTCTCAATATTTCCTGTTTTGATCCAGAGACAACCTGGACCTGCTGGGCCCCCAGGACATCCAGGGAAGCCAGGAGTACCTGTAAGTAAGAAGAGAATCCTCAGTTTTGCCCTCTGTGGCCCAGTCCCGGCTTGGTCCCTCTGTGGTTCCTCCGTTCCTCGGGAAGCTGAGTTGATGTCTCCAGCTGCTTGAGCAAGCCTGGTTGTTTCTCATGTACTGTGATTAAGGGCCTTGGCAGTGGATTTCAAAGGAGCCCAATGGTTTCCTTGCCTGCATTCCACCAAACATGAAGTGATGTTTGATATCAAACTCCCTTTGGCAAACTCAACCCCTGTGCCCTCTCCACCAGCCTCCTTCAGTAGAACATTGCTGCTTTATGTTCAGGAAGGATCAGGTTCCTAATGTTGGTCTTGTGGTTGGCCAGTTGCTTGTCGAAGTGCAGTATAAATCCACTGATGGATGCACAAAAGCAAGCCAAGAAAGAGCTAATATATTTATTTARGACCTAACCCCAGCTTGGTGACTCTGTGGTGCCTCTTCAAGTGACAGTTGAGGTTTCTCTTTGATGCTGATGTCCCCATTGGGTTTGTGTTTGTTGCACTGTGGTAGGAGCGGAGGAAGGAGCAGTGCTGAGAGAAAGGCAGTGATATGTTCAATAGAAATGAAGACAGGAAAGGAAGGACCCTTTACCTTGTGGTTTCCCATAAGGCATTATAGCCATGGGGAAAAAGATTTTCTCCTGCCTACCTGGAGATACTGAAATCTGTCCTTGCTGTAAGCCTGGCGAGGGCATCTCTGGTGAAGCACAGGGTGTTCTGGTGCAGACCACACTGCTCTGCAGGCACAGCCCTGTTCCKTGCTCCATAACGGTGTCTGAGTGCGAGGCTGCAAGGCCCGAGCTTCTTGCAGCGCAGAAAACTGCGACACAGCCTGGGCAGCACAGCGGGACAGCGACCGCTTGTTGACTTGCACCCTGTTTGTGTGCACGCAGGGGCCTTCCGGATATCCTGGGGAGCCAGGAGAAAAAGGACCACAGGGATACGTGGTAAGTGCACCCTAACCCTCCCTTAGATCCTGGGTGAAGGAGAATGGTAAAAATAAGGTTTGTTCCTGGTTTGGGACCTCTGCAGGGGTCAACACCTCCCTGGTTGAGGGTTCCTGAGCATTGGCAGAGAGCCTGTCGCAGCTTCTCTCCGTGGTTGGTTCTTACATGGGCTTGAGCTGACCAGGTCAGTTGTGCAGCTCCCAATTATCCTTCCTTGCACAGAGGGAGTGTATCTGGAACCCAGCGGCAGGGATGGGGAGCAGGGTTTGGGCGGGTTCCTGACCCTTCACCCAGGAATGTCTACRAAAAATCGCAGCCCCAGTGTCTGTCAGGAGACCAGTGGCTCCATCGCGTGATGGGTGCAGGACTCAGAGGCTGCTGGCCAGGGCAGCACCGTGGCCCCATCCCCCTGGGGCTGCTGAGTTGCAGCAGGGACACCGGTGCTGTCGTTTTTCCAGATGCCAACATCTGGAAGCTGTCACCAGCTCCCTTAAGCCAACRGAGTGTAAACACAGGGGTCTGTCCGTGTAGCTCGATCATGAGGTACCAAAACAATTCTCCATCTCCGCATAAACAGGATCTCTGCGGAGAGTCGGTGGCTCACGGGGGATTAGTGCAGAGACGAGAGGGAGCGTTTTTCCTTCCCCTCCTCGGATACATCTGCGATCCCAATGTGCYGGTGCTGGGGGCTGTGTCCCCGGCCGGCGCCAGGTTGCTCTGACCCCTGCACAGCGTCAGCCACGAGCTGGGCTCTTGGCTGTGGTTTGGGGCTCCCATCCCCTTTTCAGCTCCCGCTGGCCCCGCTCTTGAGCCTGCTCTGATCACCGAGGTGTTGCTCACGGCTGGACTCGATGGCATTCGTGCTATGGCATCAGGGCTTGAACTTCATTTTGGGCTCAGTACCTCTGATATCTGACAACCAACCCTGCCCAGAGCATCAAACAGGGCTTGGGAGAAGCCTGGCAGCCTCCTGTTCCTCCTGCATCGCTCCAGTCCCGAGCAAAACAGTCTCAGCAGGGTGAATGCACTGCAAAAAGTCTGCTGCAAACAATGCAAAGTGGTTTTCATGACCTGTTAGGTTAAGGTTCATGTCTCCATTTGACCTTGGCCCCAGAGGTTTTGCAGCCCTGCAGGCATCCCTCTGCTCCTTACCTTACGGGTTTAATAAAATGCTTCTTTTCTCTGTTTCTTCCCCTTGCCTCTAGTCCTGCATTGCAGGGTGTTGCTCTGATTCATTTTCGCTCTTGGTTTTGCTCCCTGCAGGGGGAGCCTGGACTTCAGGGCATGCCAGGGCGTGCAGGTTATCCCGGCTCCGATGGGTTTCCTGGCCTGGACGGCAAGCCTGGGCCCTTGGGGCTCCCGGGAGAGCAGGTGAGACAGGAGATGGACTAGGGCCCCTGAGTTAGTGCAATGGGAAGCTGGAATCTCAGCCCCAGAGCTGTACCTGCACCCAGAAGATGATGCTGGAGCTGCAGCAAGGTCCTAACTCCCTATCCCGGGACTCTCCCAGCACATCTTTCACCCCAAACCTTCTCCTCCTTTGGCTTTTCTCCCAGACCTTGCTAATACAYGGCTCTACCTGCGTGTTTAAAGATGCTCATGGGCTGGTGGTCTGGAGACCTTTTGCTCTGTCTGCCAAGGAACAGGTGAAAACGGGCCACCTTTGCAGAGCCTCCTTTAGCTAAAAGCCTCCAGACTGTGAGTGCTGTCAGGTGGAGCCGCAGGTATTCCTGGATTCGTGTTTCCCCAGGGAAAGGGCTGTAAAACCCACCAGTTGGTGCGACTATCCCTTCCCTTATCCATGGCTATGCCTGAAGCAGGCTGGGAAGCTGGGAATTCRGAGTGAGGAGCAAGGGAAAGGCACCAAAGCACAGGTGTATATGGAAAGCCAGCACCAAGCCCATCTCCTTGGCAGGGAAGCAGGGGTGGGCTTGGTGTCCTCTAGCTTTGGGAGCAGCGTGATGCTGGAAGGCGTGAGGCTGGCTTTCACATGGGTGAAGTGAGCATCCCTTGGTCAAAGCTGAGGGAYGGGAAGATTGCAAGTGGTGAATGTGTGAAGCAAAAAGCAGCTGGGAAAGCACTTCGAGAGTGGCCTTGGGGAGCTGCCAGAGATGTTTTGCAGCAGAGGATTTGATGGAAAGCGGCTGAGAAAAGAGCTAGGAAAGCATGCTCACTCTTGATAGCCCAGGAGGCCAAGAGTGCCATCAGCCCTTGGTCCATGTTGTGTGCAGTGATCCCAGAGGGTTGCACTAAGGACTTGGGCTGAAAGCATTCTCAGGACAATTTTCAAGCTTGGTGCTGGGAGCCGAGCAAAACTGAGATGTTTGTGGCTTTTGGGAGCAGTCATGGAAACCTGAAGCAAGGAGGCCAGGGGGAGAGGTCCCCAAGCACCAGGAGGTGGCAAGTGGAGCTGGAGGGAAACCTGAGCATCTCATCCACTCCCCCTCCTCCTCCTCCTCCTCCCCAGGGTCCGCAGGGATTCAAAGGTGATCAAGGGCTGCCTGGAGAGAAGGGCGAAGAGGTAAGTTGGTGGCGGGTTCTTTGCTGCACATGTAATGCCCACAACAGGACGGGAATGGGGGGTCTGCTGGCACCCAGTAATTTCAACAGAGAGGTTGATTTTTAATWTTTTTATTCTTTTTTTYCCCCCCCTCTTTTCATTTCTCTCTGTCTTGCTTTTCAAGCCTTAGGAGATTTTGGTTGACCCATTAACTGGTCTTACTTTCAGTGTRGTGTTTTGGAGGGTTGCTAACATCACACGTGCAATTCCACACCTGGCTGCTACTGCAGCAGATTTAGCTGGGATCTAAAATGTCCATAAAAAAGCAAGTGCTGGTGGTTTTTGTGACTGTTCTGTGCACCCTCCCCACCACTCCTAGCATTTTTAACACCCCAAAAGGCATTGCCTCCAATTTTTAGAGGTGCCCAAGAGATTTTGGCCCTGCATTCATATGAGGAGTTATCAGGCAGGGATGTCTAACCCGCTGGGCCATTTCAACACAGTTTCTTCCTTTAAAGGCAGAACTTCATTTCTGAGGGTTTTCCTTTGGGTGCTGCCTCAATGAGCACAGCCTTGAGCCCTGTCCCCCACCACCAACAGACCTTCGGGTCCGCTCGGCTGTGTTCGGGCTGCTGATGCTCCGGTTGCGGCTCACGTCTCCCTGCTGCTCCTCTTGCAGGGCTTCTTGGGTGACCCTGGACCAGCTGGGGAGAAAGGAGAGAAGGGATCGAAGGTGAGTGTGTCCATCCTGCCCCTCGCAGCCGCGTCTGYGGTGGCCGGGGACGTCGTTCTCCACCGTGTCCTGCTGCTGCCCGCGCTCTGCTCTCTGCCCTGGCTGCTCAGTCTGCTCTTTGCCTTCCCAGGGGGTGAAAGGAGAAAACGGTCCTCCAGGTCCTGCCGGGGGGCAGGTGAGTTGGCAGGAAAGCCCTGTGTGTCATCCTTGATGTGCTGAGATGGCCCCTTCCCTTTCTCCATGTTGCTTGTCCCTGTTCCTTGCTGCTTTCCGGACACCGAGGAGGCAGGAGCAGCCCATGACAGGGCGGAGGTGGAAGTGGCCATGGACCACATTCAATTCCTGCCTCTAGCACCTCGCTCCACACTTCTCTCCTAGGGTTCGATGGGTCTGAAGGGCGCTGCTGGCTCCCAGGGCTCCGCGGGCCCCGAGGTGAGTGGCTCTGCAGTGTCMTGGGTCCTCCCCAAAGGGGCACAGTTGGATTCGCGCGGTGGGTACCCTGGTGACTCCCATATGGGAGATGTGATGATGAAGACCACCGAGCCCTTGTAGCACACTGTGCCTCGTGGTGTGTTTTGGGTGACCGCCTCCGATGGGGAGGAGGAACCACCCATTGGTTCCACAGCTCTGGGCGTGCTAGGAGCTTAACCACCGCCAAGGTCTTGGGCTCTGGCCAGGACCCAGCTCTGCAGAGGGGTTGAAAGGGAAACAGCATTGCTTCCGTCACGGTTAGTGGGAGCATGTCTCAAGACAAAGTGGGGCGGCAAGAAGAAGGGACTTCCTTGGGGTTCTACCCTCCCAGACCTCAAATAGCTGATATCTGATGTAAATAAAAATTGGGATGTGAGGACAAGGAGAAGAGAATTGAAGCAAAATAGACCAGAGAAGTAACATGTCTTGCGTTGCCCTTGCTTCTGCAGGGGGAAGGTGGCTCAGCTGGTCCACCAGGCCCTGCCGGCCCCGTGGTAAGTCCTGGCTTCTCCATGCGCCCTGTTGGCCTCAGTGAGGGGCTGCTGGTGCTCRAGGAGCCCGCAGGCCGCGCAGGAGCAGGCGGCAGAGCCGAGCATCCCCTTGCCTTGCAGGGGGAGCCCGGCCGGCCGGGAGCCGTGGGGTGCCCGGGAGCCAACGGCTCGCAGGTGGGTCCGCGCTGGCAGCACCCGCTCGCGCTGCTCCCTGGGGATGTGGCCGGGCTGCCGCGCTCACTCTGCCTCTCCTCCGCTCTCTCTGTAGGGAGAGATGGGTCCGCCTGGCTTGCCGGGGCCTCGCGGCCCACAGGTATGTTGTGAGCGTGCTGGCCCCAAGCAAACGTGGCAGCAGGGATTGAGTTCTGGAGGGGCTGGTGACAGCATGGCGGGTACCAGCACCATAACATCACTGGGAAATGAGGGGGGGATGCAACATCTAAACCTGTGTCCCGGAATGCTGAGACGGGTGCAAAGCCCTTCTGTACCAGGAGATGGACCTCTGGGTGTGGGGTCCGCTCAGCCCACAGGAACCCACCTCCCGATGCCAGGAGGATGCCCAMGCTCCAGATTAGTCAGGCCTTGGATCTCTCCCCTTCCTCTCTTTCTGCAAAGCGGCACTTCCAAAGGAGAGAACATTCCTCCAGGAAATCCYTGGTGCAGACCGTGGGGTTTGCAGGGTGTTTGCCTTGATTTAGCTGTAACTATCTATCTACTTCCCTCCCCACTTTGCAGGGACCGCAGGGCTTGCAGGGGAGACGAGGGCTCCCTGGCCAGAGGGGCACACAGGTAAGTGTCCTTTACATGCTGTCCTGGCTCRGAACCCATGGATTTTCCAAGGTCCTGGGTGAAGGTCCCCACTTGTGTTGCCTTACGCTTAGCTCTGGCAAAAGAGCTGCTGCCACTTGTCCCGTTCCACCTTCCAAATGTGCACGAGGGCCTTGACTCTGCAAGTCTTTACAACCATTTTGATGGGTGGTGGGAACATGCGTGAAGGCCACTGTCCTCATGGGCAGGATGCTGAGGGGAGCCGGATGCTCTGGGTGGGATCTGAGCGGACAGAATCACATCTGCAATTGCGCTGTCCCAGCCACCCTTGGCTCTGTGTGTTCTCAGTGGAGGCACAGTCCCTGTGATCCRTGGGGTCTTGTGGCATCACCATCCCCTCCTTGAGTCTGTGTCTTGGAAAACTGTACATGAAAAGTGCCCATTTCAAGCTGATCATTGCCAGATGTATGTCCTGGACTGCAGAGCCTATGTCCTAGGCTGGTGATGTGCCACTCTCCCTTCTTCCAAATTCTTAACTCCTTTGCTTTTCTCATCCACTCCAGGGTGCAACTGGGACAGAAGGATCCTCTGGTCCAAAAGGAGGCATTGTAAGAACTTCTTACCCATGTATTTCTATAATCCCTGCTAGACATTTCTCCTCATCCTTCCTGCTGTTAGTGCAGTCGTATRCATGCCCAGTGCTAGCCCCTCGTTCTAGTATCTCATATCTTCATCCCCTGAAGGGGCAGTCTGCTGCCTTGACTGGGTGAACTCGAGCAGGGGGCAGGTTGACTCCCTTAGGTTATGCTGGGAGCAGGGTCTTTGGAAGCTCAGCTTGAACTCTGGTGGGGATGAAATGCGAACTCAAGGACTGTATGGCCAGGAGACCGGCATCCCTTGGGTGTCTACCCAGAGAGATGGGGAAAACTGCCTGCTGCTGGTTTTGGGGGAAGAGATAGGCTCTGTTTGTAGAAGGCCTTGTGAAAGAGGCCTGGAGGGCTTTGGCAGCCCTGGGGGCAGGAGGTGGCTGGGCTGTGTGGCCTGCAGGCAGGAAGAGACAGTGGATGTCCCTGGGTTGCTGCGTCTTGTCTGATAGAAACTGCTATGGAAATGGCAGTTCTTGTTGCTGACCCCTTCCACTTCCTAACCCTCTGCAAGCCAAAGGGAGGAAAAGAAGCTAATATATGTTATAAAAACAAAGGAAGAACAGTTTTGAGCCTACAAAGGGGAAAGCTCAGCAACCTGAATGACGTTCCTCAGCCAAGGGCTGGTCTGGTTTATATGGGAGSGCAGCAATGCCATTGAGTGGCTTTGTTTGCAGCCCAGCCTCGGGCTGTGGTCAGAAGAACCTTCTCCAGGGCTGCTGGTCTTGCCCAGMATCAGCCTTCCTCCCTTGTCCTGTTGGAAGGCTCTGCTCCTGCCAGGCCATTGCAGAACTGGTCGCACCAGTTCAGGACCTGCTGTTTGGGACCGTAAGCGTGGGAATAGCTGTGCAGGGGGTGAACCAAAGCTGGCTGTGTTGCAGGGAGCTGACGGTGCCCCTGGACTGCGAGGCCAGCCCGGACAGGAAGGCCCTGGGGTAAGTCTGGGGGTGGCCGGTGGCGGGAGCCCCACGCGCTGTGTCCTCCCCCAAAGTCTGTCCCTGCGTGGGACTCCTGAGCATCCCGAGAAGGACCATCCCACTCTGGTGGCTGGAGCTTTATTTTTCTTTCTGCTTTTCCAGCAGATTCCCATGCCCCAGTTCAGTCATCACCTCACATCCTTGGTGCACAAGTAGGTGCCGTTTCCCCAAGCACTTTGGGTGCTGAGTTGCCTTTTCCCAAAGGGTCACATGCTCTGCAGGACAACCAGACCTGCATCCCTTCGTCCTGCTAGAGGAGCCCCRATAGCATCCTGCCTCGTGCCTGCTCGAGTTGCACTACAGGGCCACACTCCGATGATGTTCTGGTGTTAGGTGGTCCCTTGGGGCATTTGCTTCTTGTGTATTCACACCTCGGTGTGCAGAGATGGAGCTAAAGCACCTTGATCCCCCTGGCCGTGGGATTACAGCAGGGACACTCTGGAAATGAACAGCTGTCCCAAATGTATTTATGTCATTTCTGCCCTTTTAGCACCAGACATTTGTAGGTCTCTGCAAGTGCACRTGTTGTTTGCCTTTAAAAACAAACAAAAACCCTTTTGTTCTCTGTTTCTCCTTGAAGGGGTTTATTGGCCTGCCAGGTTTGAAAGGCWTCCGAGGAGAGCAGGTGAGTCGTGGTACCCTTGGCACACAGGCCTTTCCTGGGGCTCCGCGGTGCAGGAAGCCTGTGTGGGAGTAACCTGGACACTCAGGAAAGACCATGAGCTTCCTGGTCCTTTCTACCTCTGGGCTTGTTGAAAGTCAGGTGATTTTTTGCTCTTACAGGGCTGGGAAGGTCCAAGTGGAGCTAAAGGTGACCTGGGAGCCAAAGGAGAGAAGGTACAAGGCTCGGATGAGGGATGCTCTCGGAGGTGGGTTGTTCAGAGGTGACAAGAGTCACCCGGTGCCCTGTGCAGAGACCTAAGACAGCGAGCAGGGCGCTGCAGGAGGGAGCCGTGGCCAGGGCTGTCCTCAGCGCCACTTGTCCTGGCGCAAGGGGACAGGGTGCAAGAGGCCGCCAGCCCTGCAGTGACGCCACGTTCTGTCCATCCTAGGGCTCGCCTGGCCGCCAGGGAGCTAAGGGAGCGCCRGGCGGGCGCGGGCAGCCGGGCGCGCACGGCTTCGCGGGCGCCCGCGGAGCGGCYGGACCGCGTGGGGCCCAGGTGAGGCGGCGCCGGTACCGGCACCAGAGCGCGCGGAGGGGTCCCGCACGGGGCTCTGCGTGGCCGGGGAGCCTCGCTGTCCCACCCGCGTGGGTCTGCGTGCCCAGCAGAGGCACAGAGGGGTGGGGGTCCCCTASAGCACCTTGCTGCTCTGTCCCTCTTCCCTGTCCCCGTTCCCCACCACGCCTCCTGCTCTGCTTCCCACCACCGTCTCCACGCACTGGGCTACCCCCAGCCTGGAGCCCATCTCAGTGGCTGTGGCAGTGCTGCCCATGCTGGATGCTGTGGGCCAAGGGAGCCCTCTAACAGCACCTCCTCTGTGCCGTGCAGCGCCGTGGATTCCCCCCTCTGCCCCATGTGACGCTCTCCAGAGGCAGATGGGGCTTTTAGACCCGGCCACTGTCCCCACCAATGGCCACTGGGTCCCACCGCGCAGTGAGAGGGCAACCTTGGCAGATGCCCAAGGGCAGGTGTGGGATTGGATTTCCATGGGCCGGGGCATGGGCCACGGGTGTTGCTTCTCTAATGGTCTTGCAGGACTCATGCAGAGTCTCCACTTCAAATCAGTGCTGGTCGCTGCTTTGCAGGTGTTTTGAGACTGCAAAGCTTAAAAAAAATGCTTTTTTGAACCGAGCATCTTGGGCTCCCGCTGGGCTCTGCCTCCTGCAGCTCTTGCTAACCACTGCAGAGGGTTGCACTTGCTCCAGCAGCTCCAACCTGGCGCCCCTTCCCTGCTGTGGAGCCTGGCACTCCTTTTCCTCAGTGCAGAGTGAGGTTTCATTTGCACAGTGCATTTGTCAGGTTGGACAAATGCAGCTGCAGATCAATATTTCTACCAGAGGACAGAGTCCTTGCCCACTGCTCATCTCTAGAGGGTTTGGGATCCCTCTGTGTGACTTGTCCTCCCCCTTCACAGGGTTTGAGGGTGCCTGCTTGGAGCTGTTATCACGTTCACTGTTCAGGCTGATAAACAGATCTAAGCACTGGGATTGCAGCACAGCTCCCGGTGCCTCTCGCACCTCACCGGCAGCGCTGWCACCTTGGGTTACTCTTGCTCTGATCGGAGCTTTCAAGACCCCGCAGCCCATCCGTGATGAGCAGCCCTTGCAGGAGATGAGCGCGGTGCTGGGGACTGGGGACTCGCCCTGCACACGCAGAGGGCTGCCACGTACCCCAGCCACCTTCCTCTCCTCTCTCCTCCCAGGGGGAAGAAGGCCAGATCGGCCCGGCTGGTCTCAACAGCAGCGAAGGGCCCAAGGTGAGCRCGGACGTTTGCTGCGTGCTCCCCGCAGCATCTTGCGGCTGCTCTTTGGGGCAGGGAGGTGGCCACGGTGACCCTGCTCCCGTGGTCTCCATCCCACCCCCTGGGGTCGCGCTGCTGCCCAGCTCTGCAGCCCAGAGAGCAGCAGTCCCACGCGCAGGCTGGGCTCAGGCTGGGCTGGCCCCGTCTTCTGAAGTCCCCTTCAGAGGTCGTGCAGCTCAGCTGGGTGCAGGGACCGGCAAGACATCGGGGATGCCGAAAATGACTGAATTTTCTTCTGTGTGACTTTTATTAGGGAAGCCGAGGACCAGATGGCCTCAAGGGAAGCCCAGGACTGCGAGGAACCAAGGTAACTCATGGAGTTGATGATTACTTAGCTGCGTCTTGGAGCTGCTTAGGCCTTAGAGATGAGAGCAAGCCTTAGAGAAGCCCCATGGGCATGTGGATGGGGAGGGGGCACACAAGCAGCCGCAGCCAGGCCTGCCCATGGGGCAGTCAGCAGTTTCAGTGGCCTGGAGACCTTCCTCTGCTCTGCCCCTGTCACCGTGCCTGGGGGACCACGAGCCTGTGTATTTAAAGGCCTTCAGCATGTACAACTTGCAGCAATGTTTCCCCAAGCCAGCTTGGACCATGGAGAAGCCTCTGAATGCAGCTTTGCTGCTGGTGGGAAGATGCTCTCCTTGATACTTGCTTTCTTGCAGGGTCGCACAGGGCAGCGGGGACTAGCTGGAGTTCCAGGCCTGCCAGTAAGTCCAGACTTCCACACTTGGGCATCAGCTTTAGTAGATGAGGGGATTAGAGCTCTTGAGTTCAGGAAATTTGATGTCTTATGATCAGCTTCCTCTAGAAACTTTCATTATCCAGAATTGCCCTGGCAAGGGAGACGCAGGGAATAACGGGGGTGATGGAGATGTCTTTGCTCAAGGTACTCAGTCTGGCTGGGGCTGTTCCAAGGGCTTCCCTGCACCCTGATTTTACTTCCCGGAGGGAAGGAGCGGGGAGCGGCTGCGTGGGTGGGTGCCAGGATGGGGCACAGCTCGGATGAGGCGCGATGGCCGCACCAGCCGCCCGGCCGCACGCAGCCCTTCCCGGGGTTTCTGGCGACTCCTGCTCGCCAGCGCAGCTGGTGGCTTTGGGGGCGCAGGGTTGGGTGCGAGGAGCCGCACGGGGCACCCATGTGGAGACCTCGGCCTTGTGCAGTGGGAAGGGAGGYGGGAATAGGCTCCCGGTGGGAGCAGTTCCTACTGCATCCGTCCTCCCTGGCTTTTCACGCAGCAAACGTGCAGGTTGTACAGAGCCTTCCGCTCTGCTCTGCTCAAACCGATTGTGGGACAAAGCTTTGGCCTCCTGCTTTGCACCCTCCCGCTCTTGCGTGCTCTGGATTCATCCTGGGAGGCTGGAGTGTCCGCTCCAGCCTAGCCAGGGCCGTGTTCAGCTAAGCCATGGCTCTCCTTGCTGCAGGGAGGTTCAGTGGCTGGGGTTCACACATGCTCAAAGCCAAGGGCTGTTCAATACCCAGGAACCGCCATTGGCTTGGGAAGCTCCAGAGGCTCCTGCAGACCAGCGGAGCGTGCTGGGCATGCTGCTGCTTTGTACTGGGCATGTTTTAATGCTCGTGGCAGTGCTCGCTCCTGGGCTGGCCAAGCGTGGTGGGCAAGCRGGCGTCCCAGAGATGTTGTCTTGTCCATTGTGCTCTCCTTACCTGACGTGACCATCTGCTTTGCAGGGCTCGCAAGGTGCTCCAGGAGCAGAAGGCCCCGAAGGAAAGCTTGGTACACAGGTTCCCATTCCTACTCTGTACTTCACCACGGGGCGTTGCACGAGGACTGGGGCTGAGGGCAGGCACTGCTTATGGCATAGGCTGTCCCTCAGGCAGCATAAACATGGGGCTGCCCTCAGGGAGGTGGAGCTGAGCTCGGCTCAGATGCTCCTCTGCGCTTTGGGGATGACCAGGTCGACCATGGCCAGCTCTGTGTGATATCAAGGGCAAAGTCTCCCCGGGATGAGATGGACCATTTCTCTCCCCTGACTTTTGGGGGGAGTAGGTCCGGCTTTGCTGGAGCTTGCTCTGTGCTTGTTCCTGTCCCTTGGCTGCGCACTTGTATTCGAAGCACTGGATTTGGGATGGGCCTGGAAAAGGCTTCCACCTGGTCCTTACTCCCTGTCCGTCTTATCCTGCAGGGTCTTCCGGGGGCCGGGGGCAGCCCAGGCAGACGGGGAGCGCCCGTGAGTAGACCCGCACACGTAGACCCGCACGCGTGTCCATGAGAAACCCTCCCCTTCCCCGGGGCAGAGGTACTGGGTCACAGAAAGCCCCTCCGAGCCAGACCCTCCTTAGCCTTTTGGGGGAGCTCCCCTTTGCATTGCTAGGACAGGATGCAAAGGAAGTCCTGGACCAACTTCTCCTGAGTTCTGCCAAGGTCCTGCTGCCTTTGGGTGGTCCTGGTGTCCCAGTTTGGTCTTGGAGGCTGGATTATCAACAGATGATGCCCCAGKGCGTGACAGCAGGTCTGACCAGTGGGCTGGATAGATCACCTGGTCCTCCTGGATTGCACTTGTTTCTCTGGAACCAGACAAAATGAGAAGTGTGTTCTGCTCTGGGTCTCTGACGTTGATGTTAGAGGTGCATGGTACCCACTCACTAGACGTGCGTGTGGGCATTGTATAAACGTTTACACACTGCTGATGTGCTTCAACAAAAAGAAATCAAAGAGTGGGCTTGAAGTGGAAAATGCTAGTGTTGCACGCAGCGAGCCGAGCTGTTTGCTTTGGATGTAGCCGCGACGCTGTGCTCTGTTTTGGGTTGGCCTCTGACCAGGTGCCGATAGCAGTGAACGTCTCACCTCTCCCATAACGTTGTCTTTTCTCTCCCCTTGATGTTGTCCCCCTGTGCCTGCTCCTGTCCTGCTCCTCCCCTTGATCCACTGCCCTCTCCTGAAGGGTTTTGCTGGTTTGCAAGGGGACAGAGGCCACGGGGGACTCCCTGGACACGCGGTAAGCAAAACGTTGTTTCGTGTTAACTCTCAATTTACTGTAGAGCTGGGGAAGGTCAGTGGGTGTCCAGGCAAGCGCTGAGTATCGTGCAGGATTGGTGCTGATATCCCCGCAGGGATAAGGACTGCAGCTTGCAGGGCGCTGGAACAATGGATAGGAACAGCCTGGAGCTCCCCTGCCCAAGAGCTGGGCTCAAGTGGGACACAGCAAATAGCTGCTGGTCCTGGGTCTGCACTCCCTGGATTTCAGGCCACTTCAGGCCATCTGGACTGAATGAGCTGGCCCAAGGCTGTCCTGTCCCGTCTCACAATTCAGGGCACTCATCCTTGAATGCCCTGTTAGCTGTTTTGTGTGGCACGTCGTCACCCTGCCTGGTGACGGCACTGCTTGAGAGCCCACCATGTGCAGACAGTGCCAGGACAGGCCACAGCAGCACAATTTGTCCCCAGTAGTTAATTTGGACCAGGCGATGACTCTCCYTGAGCACAGAGATCTCAACGGTGGCATGGCAGGTCTTTTGTTCTTGCAGCCTTTTGGCTAATACTTCCTCCCCAAACCTTTCTGAAGGGCCCTCCGGGAAGACCAGGAGCTGATGGAGTCCCAGGTTCCCTCGGTGCGAAGGTGAGAGTGCGGAGCGGGGCTGGCTGGAGCACTGCTGGTAGCAGCCACCCCTGAGCATGGGGGACATGGCCAGGCTTTTCTTGGAAGCCTGGGGCCATCCCATGGGTTTGAAGGTGGACACAGGGCAGGAAAAGGTCCTTGTGCCCCACGTGATGGAGATCTCTGAGCTGTTGGTGCTATGGGCAGCACCCAAATCCCCAACAACTGCTCCGCTAAGCCCTAGAGCCACCCGTGGTTTCCCTTAGAGTCAGGGCTGAGCAGCACATCCACATCCTTGGAGAAGGGATACATTAGTGCACATCTCTCCTGGCAGGGCCTACCGGGAAAGCCTGGCTTGGAAGGACCGCAAGGACCTGTCGGCATGTATGTAAGTGATAGGCATGCCCGCTTAGCCAGGGACGGTGCAGCTGGCTGGAGCTCAGGGCAACGGGGAGAGGGAACCTCATGTATCAGCCAGGGCGCTTGTGGTGCTCTARGTCCTTCTGCAGCGCCCCAGTGCCAGCCTAGCTTGGCAGCCGGGGCTGTTGGAGGTATCTCCCAGCTCCAGCCCGGATGAGCACAACACGGGGACCAGCATTTCCAGGCTCATGCTGACGTGTCCTGCTGGGGATGGTGGGGCCCTTTTCCAAGTCCTCCTGCCTCAGTGGAGAAAGTGTGGAGCCAGGGAACAGGGACATGAGCCTGGCTTTGTATTGCTGATAGAGGAGGGAAACCGCCGTGTTCACAAGACCTTTCTGTGTAAAAGCAAGATTAACTTTGAGTAAGAATGATGACAGAGCTAAAGCAACTGAGTTTATGAAGCCCCGATCTCTGGAGAGGGCTGCACCTCAGCCATCTCCCTATCCCATAACCTGGACGTACTACAACCTCTATCCTATACCCTGGATATGCCTTTGCTGACCTGGCAACATGATGCTCTCCCCAGGGCTACCCAGGACCTGTTGGTGACAGAGGGAGGCCAGGACCCAGGGGAGAAAAGGTAGGATGGGGAAACGCAGCAAGAGAAGGAGCTCAGGGCAGCCAGCAAAGCGCCCTGTGCTTGTGGCCGGGTGCTGGATGTGCTGGATGAGGGGGACGAGGGGCTGCCTGGCCAGCCCTGCTCTGCAGCTCTTCTTGCAGCCACGCACCCATAGTCTGGGGCTTTTATTCCTGCACCTCTGCATTTGTCTTCTGGCTGGGTGATTTCAGAGGATGTTACTGAATGAGTTCTTGCACAGCTGGAAACAGCAGCCGCTCAGGCTRTGGTAAACTGTGAGCCAGCCCTGGTCCCACAACGGGACATACAGGATGCTCCCAAGCTGTTCAACTCCCCAAGCCTCCCCTCTTCTTTCTAAGACCCAGGGCTGCTCTTCTTGCCCTTAAGAGGTTGTAGAAGGTGCAGCAGAAAGGGAATCTGTCTTGCTTCCTGTCAGGGAGAAACTGGAGTCCAAGGCCTGCCGGGATTCCCAGGAAAAGCTGGTCCTAAGGTGAGTGCTGCTCACCATGAGCAGCTCCGAGATGCCTGTAGGCAGATCTGCCAGCACCGAGGAGCTCCGCTGGTGCTGGAYGGGGCAGGGAGAGGAGCCGCTGCTGGGGTGATGCTCTGCAGCGTGGGCAGGGGTCTCCTGGTGGCCTGGTTTGCACAGTGGGGGCTAACGAGTCTCTCCCTCCTGCAGGCCCTGCCCGGCCTCCCTGGCCCAAGAGGTCCTCCCGGCTCCCAGGTGGGTCCCAGCRCTGGAACGAGCTTGATGTGACTAGCTGTGTCCCTCACATGAGCTTGTGTTACCCATGGCATTCAYGGTGCAGGTAGCAGCCAGGGGCGGGTGGGACCCTGGGTGCATGTCAGGACTTGGTGCATGGATTTCTTGGGGGTGCCAGAGCATGTGGGACTTGCCTGAGAAAAACCTGCTCCTCTGTACCCTGCACAGCATCCCCAGCACCGTCTCCTTGCTGTGACCACACTACCGAAAACTCCTCTTGTTTCAGGGAAGACCAGGAGATCCAGGTCCTCGAGGGCTTCCGGGGCTGCCTGTAAGTGGACAAGCTGCAACTTGTGGAGATGCTCTGTAGGCTGAAGATACGCAATGTCCAGTGTCATGTCACCTACATGCCCATTCTGGCAACAGCTCTGGGCTGTCCATGCTGCTCAGTAAAGGGTCAGAACAAGGTCCAAACCCCATACAGGTAGCCAGGTAATGACAAGATGTATGTGTGGACCTCAGTGCTCTCCTTGCCCCTGCAGTGATCGCTGCATGACAAGATTACCAACACTCTACCTGGCTCAGGTGGTGCTTTTATGATRTGATAGCCAGATTGCTCCAGACATGGGGGTTTCACTCTCCCCCCCAATCCAGTGACTTCGCCAAAGAGAGAAACTGCAGAATTCCCTGCGTTTTGGGATGTCTGACTGCCCTTTTGTTCTTGCAGGGTGTTCCCGGCATGCAAGGGCTGGATGGCATTCCCGGGAAACCTGGTTTGGCAGGAGAAGCGGGGACTCCTGGGAGGAGTGGGGCCGCTGGCCTGCCTGGGTATCCAGTAAGTTCAACTGTGGATCCTTTGGCTGCTGTTTAACAAAACATTTAATACKGGAGCAAGGAAAGTTGCTGTTTGGAGGCTGTTGGGAAAGCAGGGTGGCTTGGCCTAACCCAAGGGCTCTGTCCACCCTCATCCTGCACAGGATACGTCCACTCTGCTTCTCCTCACACACTGCTGTGTTGACTGCTCTGCTTTGTTCTCCATGCAAACCTTGCAGTGAAGTTCCTACGGTTCCTCTTAGATCCCAGTCTCTGCAGAGCCTTCACTGCTCTTTCCTCCATCTCTTCATTGATGCCTTAGGCTGGGCTTTTCAAGTCTTGCTTTCAAATCCTTTGCCATAATTTGCTTTGCTCTCTGCCAGTGGGTCAGGTTGCAAGGGTGTTTATTGGCATCGGACAGGCAGTGGGAGCTCCCCAAAGCACCTACACAAAGGGCAGGAAGAGGGAAACTAGTACATGAGCCTTGACAAGGCGGTGATTGGCTCCTCTGCTAGTGGAGATGTGATGTGCTTCGTTCTGCAAGCCTGAATGCCTTGATGTTAACATAGGCTATTTGTTTTCAGGGCCGGGAAGGTTTAGGGGGACCTGAAGGGCCTTTGGGGAGGAAAGGAGAGAAGGTAAGAAAAGAGACCTTTTGGTACCCCTCATCATTCCCATCCACGTATGCAGTTCACATCTGTGCTTGTCAGGAGCTAGCCAGGCAAGACAAAGCTTCATGTGATGCTCTGCTGATGTTAGGTTATTTTCCTTCTATACTTCCACCTCTGGAGCAAWGACCCAGCTCAGGGTGTCCAGGAGCCACGCTGAGTGCCGGCTTCCTTCAAGGTGGAGAAGAGAGGTGCATAAGCATCCATGAGAAACTGAGGGATTGAATGTGAAGTGGTGCAGGCCTTGCCATTTGTTAATTCTGCAGGGATGCAGATTCATAAGTTTGTGATGTGCAGGAAGAGCCTTGCAAGCCTGCCTGGTGACAGTGATCTGCTGACGTCACGAGGGTCAGGGCAAAGGGCTCTCTGCAGGGCCCCTTGCTGAGGACAACCGCAGTTGATGGTTTCTGCTGGTTTCCTCCCCCAGGGCGACGTGGGTGATCCCGGGGAAGCCG